TTGTTAACCTGAGATGAGACGTTTTTTTCTTTCGAGGAAGCGCAAGAAGGACCGCCTCATCACCGGCTATAAACTTATATCTCGCGTCATAACTGAGACTCCAAGCGAGGTTCTGCGATACACGTATTTCTAGTTTACTAAATTATATACACCCCGTGATTGCTTGGCATGCATGACTATTAAAAATTTACCAGCTGACGTCATAAAAGGAAATGGAGTGTCTAATCAAAGAAATAAGTTAATTTAGTGACCAAATTTAAACATCAGCTGTTAGCGATTCTGCCGACACAATACCCTTTCAATACTCAGAGACTGAACAACTGTTACAGGACATGTACGATGCTACGATGCTTACGTATAGCCGAACTTTTTTCCAGATAAAGCAACACTTTCGTTGTTTAAACTGTGGTTATTTCTTTTTCTGTCGAAAATAGTACAATGATTACGTAACGTACCGATCAGGTGTAAATGCTTTTAAATCACCAACATAAACAGTTTCTGTTTTTAACGAGTAATTATCTGTATTGCTTTACCTCTGGCTTTAGCCTTGATGACGATGTTTTAAGAACCACAGGATCTAGGATGAAGTGGGTATTGAAAACACTAGTGTCTTGTGACCGTAAAGAAAATATCGCCCGCGTGCCGGTGTCGTCATAGCCAATCCAGGGTGTATTCAAGGCATAACTAACTTCAATGTCACGATGACTCAAAATATTCAGTCAAGTTTGAATTCAAGGCCAGCTATTTTTGTACCGACAGAATCAGAAGGACTAGACTATGCATACGCAAAACATTGAATTTTGAACAGACGGAATGTGATGGAGAGAATAACAGCCAAAATAGAAAGTGACTCATAGACTGCGAGCAGTCTCTTATTATTCTTTGCAAAGTTGCTGCACGCGAAACCCAAGCACGCGAGCGGCGTGGCCCGCGAGCTGAAGAGAAGAAGCGCCCTGCAAGCAGTCTGGTGACGCAAGGCCAGCTATACCACTATACCACTATTCATGAAGCATTTATATGGAAGCTTTGTGACTTGCTGATCACGCTTTTATTTCTTCAGTACAACCTGCGTTACTATGCAGTGATTTTGTCATTAATAAGTGACTGAAGCCGAGAACAAATTCGTGACGCAGGGGCACCCAACGAGAATATAGTTCAAAACCACTTAAACATAGCATTGAGGAACGTATTTTAGTATTTAAACGGTAGATATAGCCATATTTTTATCCCCTAAAAATTTTTTATCTGTTCGGATTTCCTAGCTGAAAGTCTAGTGATCCGAAAATTATAGGGATCAAAACTTACCTTTTCGAAAATTTCAGCCTGAAAAAAGGCTCCCGAAAAATCTAGGTGACATTTTTAGGGTAAAAATCCGTTAAAAATGGGCAATTATACCATTTTTGTGGGGTTCGAAAATCATAGGAGAAGCGGGCAAGCAAGAAATTTAACAACAAATGCTCCGAAAATTCTAGATCTCAAATCGTCTTCCGAACAGATATTTTACGAAAATTGTCGTTGGGTGCCCCTGGTGACGAAGCCACGAGCTCTTTTGCCCATCGGCCATGATGTCGGTGGTCAGTGTGAACAATGACGCAATAACCGTCCGCTTAAAATAAATATTTCTACTTAAAGAACTGTCATTTCCAGCTTACAAAATATTATTGAAAAGAAATTCTATTCGAGTACATTGAATTGGGAACGGAAAAGAAGGTTAAGCTTACGGGATCTCTTACTTGTAGGCCAATAAACCTCTATATCAACTCATCAACTGACGGGTGACAATCAGTATCACCTGCTGGTCGCCACAATTCAAGTTTTTACCTTAANCAGGGGCACCCAACGAGAATATAGTTCAAAACCACTTAAACATAGCATTGAGGAACGTATTTTAGTATTTAAACGGTAGATATAGCCATATTTTTATCCCCTAAAAATTTTTTATCTGTTCGGATTTCCTAGCTGAAAGTCTAGTGATCCGAAAATTATAGGGATCAAAACTTACCTTTTCGAAAATTTCAGCCTGAAAAAAGGCTCCCGAAAAATCTAGGTGACATTTTTAGGGTAAAAATCCGTTAAAAATGGGCAATTATACCATTTTTGTGGGGTTCGAAAATCATAGGAGAAGCGGGCAAGCAAGAAATTTAACAACAAATGCTCCGAAAATTCTAGATCTCAAATCGTCTTCCGAACAGATATTTTACGAAAATTGTCGTTGGGTGCCCCTGGTGACGAAGCCACGAGCTCTTTTGCCCATCGGCCATGATGTCGGTGGTCAGTGTGAACAATGACGCAATAACCGTCCGCTTAAAATAAATATTTCTACTTAAAGAACTGTCATTTCCAGCTTACAAAATATTATTGAAAAGAAATTCTATTCGAGTACATTGAATTGGGAACGGAAAAGAAGGTTAAGCTTACGGGATCTCTTACTTGTAGGCCAATAAACCTCTATATCAACTCATCAACTGACGGGTGACAATCAGTATCACCTGCTGGTCGCCACAATTCAAGTTTTTACCTTAAAGCGATTCATTGCTTGAGGTCTTATTTTAAAAAAAAACCAAAAAGTTCGCCGTCCATGTCCTGATTCGCTAAAAACCGTTCAAATAAGTCGTTCAATGGCAAATAAACTTGAACTTCTTTGATCTGGTTCTTTTAGCACTTGACAGCGTTCTCCTTCGTATTTTTAATATTTTATCCAACTCGCCTCAACTTAACCTGCATTAAACCCAGCCCACAAAATGTCACAGCACCGTAAAGCGAAAACTTTCCTAGTAGCTAATTCCCCAGGCCTATTCCTATGCAGTTTGCTTTTCAGTATATCTAAATGTTGCATAACTTTATTTATTTTCATCGCAGGCAACGACTGTGTCTTTCAGTGCCTCGAGGAACCGGTTCCGATACTTCTGCACAGCTAGTAATTAGATTTAAGTATTAAACCAGATCTACTGCTTCGCTCAAGAGATTCACACTGTGATCGGTGGTCTTTGAAAGGATGATTTTAAGCTATTCAGCTCAGCTAGATTTAAAAAACACTGTTGTATCACACTTTAACGAGCCTGTTTGCTTGGTAACGTACTGACACGGCAATTATGTAAACAAATTAATATTCATCCCGGCTTCCGACAACATCGCCACATCGCCGGCTGAACTGAACAAATCGGCCGGTACCACCGGGTCACGACAATTCCCAAAAGTGATAACTGCCTTGTTTTATCAATTTTTTGATCACCAAATATTAAGGGAAAATTTGCCTTTCCTATGTTCAATCGAGCAAGGAATTGAAGTTTGATATCGCATAGCTTTATTAGTTCCTTTCCACTTATTTTGTAAATACACAACTATCGGAAACGGCGGAAGAACTTTTTAGGGTGCAAACAGCTTAATTGCAATAAAACTCCCGGTTTTCCAGATTTTCAACAGATAGCCCACTTTGCTAGTCTATGCAAGAGTCGAAATTTAAGATTTTTTGAGCAAAAAAGAAATAATATTGAACAAAAAATGCTTATAGTATTGTAGTTTTATTTTTTCTTTCTTCCTGTGTGATTTACTGGTAGATCAGTTTTTGGCCATAAAAGTAGAACGAAAAACCTACTTGAGGTCACCTCAAGGCGACCTCAAGCGATCTAAGTTATTTTCTTTATTTAAAGCTCTTTTATATGTTCGGTTAATTAACCATGTAGATTTTTCCAATACAAATTCTTGAACCGGCAACCGAAGTTAAAATATACTTTTGAACGGTACGCTCATATTTGAGCTCGAGCGACCTTGCGTTTTCTCTTCAGTGGTCCATTTTTGAGACTTCGCGTGATCCGCGCTGAAATGTTACATTTCCTTTCAGAAGTTAAAAGACCCTTACAACGTATCCCATATCAAACAAAACAAAATAAGCTTGCCTACGTGTATTGAGCTGAACTGCGACCTTTGGACGAAGAGACTCAGTAAGCCAATTAAATAATTATACAGAGAGAAACTTCTCGCAAGACCAATATTATCTTCTCTGTGTAAAAGACAAAAAATATATAATGCGATACAGTTGAAAGGTTATTTCAGTTTGTTCATTCCCAGTTTCCCATTCTCCTGTTTGTTTTTTTTGCATTTTTCCCGTAGCCATAATGCCCTTTTTTAATCCAGGGCACTTGGAGTTACAGTATTACTAGCTACCCGTCTCGTACTGAAGTTTCGAAACGGTTTCGACATATTGGGTGTAATTAATTCAAAACTAAAAATATTTTCAGTTGCTTTTGTCGCGGTCGAATAAGTTTGAGTCTGGAGGTAAAGGGTCGCCAAGCCTTGATGGTGAAGAATATACAACAATTGTTCGAAAGGCATGCTTCCATATCACTTATCCTATGAATCCACACACGGAAATTCAATTCTTGGGGAATAAAGTCCAGTTTTATTCACGAACGCGTGACTTTCTAAATCCCCTAATTAAGGAGTTTAAAAGAAATTCCACGCATATACTTATCCCCCCTTCTCGATTTCATTTACCGCCACCCAAGGCTAGGCCTCTTGCCCGGTTTTGTTTTTTGATCAGCAGTTGAGAGAAAGCTGCAGCTAAATATATAAAATACTGTGCTAAATACTTCACAAGTTTTTAACTTACGAATCTATATCACCATAAGTTGACATTGATTACGTAACTTTCCGGGAGTTTGTGTCGCAATAAACTAGGACAAAATAATAGAACAAAATCTTCTGAAATACGATTGAAACACGACATCACTTGCAAAAACTAGAATTTATATCTCAAAACTAAGTAGATGGTAGATATATTACAATAATTTCTACTGAAAAGTCAATAAATTTGCTCTGGTCGCATCAATAATCAGCTGGAGACGTTCAACGGGCCAATCAGCGGCTCTTACGTCACAGCGTCACCAAAACCTGTCAACAAACACCCTCGTCACTCCCCCGTCAAGCCCCAAAGCACACTCCATAGTGAAATTTAAGCGGTTAGGAAAGGCTCTGCTGTTTCTCCCGGATTATCAGAAGTCTGTCCTAATCTCAATCTGTTCTGCTGCTAAAAGAAGTCTCAAACTACTTCTTAAGGGTATTTGTAAAGCGAAAACCTTAAATTTTGTCGATATTTGATCGTGATTTGTATAATACGTCGCAACGTGGTCAGTTTACTCCTGCGTCGCTGAAGAGTAAAGATGAGTTTAGATCAATCCTCGAAGTCCTTAGCAGTGGTCGACTGGGTGATAATAGCCATTTATTTTCTTGGCTGCATGATCGTCGGTTTGTGGGTAAGTGTAAAACAAGTGTTGTAAATATGATGTAGAAGCGTCGAGACATGACTGAGCAAACTAAGGCTTATGTTAATTTTGTCTATGCGTAGAACGGGCTGCTACAACCGTCAAATTTACAAACACACAACATTGCCAGCGTGGATTATGCTAATCGTTGAACTTTGAAAAGGTTCGCTTTAAAGATTCGCAATATTTGTCGTCGATGGCTAAACATTCATTTTGTTTGGCGTCGATCGCCCGGCAACAAAGTTTAGATCAAAGAATACCGCAATCGAATATTGCATGCATTTGTAAACATGTATTTTTCAGGAAATATACATAGTCAGAAACATTGATGTGGACATATTTTTCCCCCGAGACCAGTTTTGATTATTTATTTCACAATTCGGATATTACTTACTTAACTCGCTTAAAAACTAATTGCTCATTTAGAGATCAATTCTGGATTTTAAACGCGAATGCACTTTAGCTCTAATAATAGTTTGATTTCACGATAACACATCGGCTCGCTGTTTTGCCTGCATCGTTGTAAGTGCTACACATATTGAATTACGGAAGTACCGTAATTCTTTGACGAAAAACAAAGGAAATCATTGTTACCTTGTATGCAAGGATAATACTGCTTGATAAGACAACATGAATTCTAGTAATATTCGACTTCTTATCTGTAATAGCCTATTGTGTAAACCCTCATCATAACTATCAAAATCTACTCCTTGGCTCATACAGTCAGCTATCTCTACGACGGACCCACACGGGCCACTGGGTTTCTCTGAAATAAGGTGTCTGCCTTGAAATGGTCCAAAAATGATTGAAGAATGGGGGAACTACAGTAACCAAGTGTTTTTTGTGTTTATTTACTTCAAGCTTGCTTGTAATCGTGGTTCAATGTTTGTAAATAAAAAATGCTTCAGCTTTCGTTTAACAAGTTGCAACTTGTGGGATGGAATAGGGTCCATCTCTTAACTTTGTTCAACAATGTTCAACAAGTTGAATCACATTAAGCGTATTTCAACATGGAAAGGCACACTGTTCAACATTATTTTGTTGATTACGAGCTGCAAAATTTGTTGATCAAGAAAAAGTTGAAGTGCATCCATAGACTATTTTATATGCAGCAGTCAGATCTTTACCCAGAACAAACTGCATGCGAAATGGAAAGTGAATGATACCAAAGCTACATCTACAGGCCACCAAAACAGATTTTTTGTAGAGGAATAAAATCTTATTTATCAATTTAATTGATAAATAAGTTTTATTCCTCTACAAAAAATAGAAAGTTTTATCATAAGCTCTGTGAGCAGCAGTTACTGGCCCCAAGCCAACCCTGAGAGTAATATTTAATTCGATCTTAAATGGGCATTGTTAGTCTGCTCTAGTGGTACTTAACTAATGAGAAAATATTCACATTAAAATAACCTTGAAGATAATGGCCACAGTTTGTTCCAATGAGTAGCTAGATGGTGCAGAACTTTTCAAGGTTTACCACTTTTCTGGAAGGAATGCACATAATAAATTGTATATAGAATTCAAAAAACTTCAATGAGTAGCTTTGCTCAGCTTTGCAGGGGCATCAAGATTCAAGGCTGTTCATGCTCTAGTACTGCCTTAAGAGCAGCTTCCGGTGACAACATGAGATAAGGATTTTGGATGTGTTTTTGTCTTGTTTATGATCTGTGGGGATCCCTACAATTTTTGCTTGAGTACTGCTACAGCTATGAGTTTTGTTATGAAAAGTTAAGTTAAGAAGTTATATATCAAGTTATATTTCCAGTTTTTTCTATTAGTTTTGTTATGAAAAGTTAAGTTAAGAAGTTATATATCAAAACTCTTCACTCTGTGTCAGACAAGGAGAATCTTTTTTCCAGCAAGAGACTTTCTATGCTCATGGACTTGTAACTAAAATTTAATGATGGTTTGAAATAAAAAAAAATGATATAGATACACAGGCAGTCATTGGAGTTACAATATAATTTTGGGTAATTTTTGGAACTTTTGTAGAGTATAAGAAGGAGAAAGTCATTCAGCCAATGAGACATTTTTGCCACAAAAATCTTTCTATTTACCCCGCAAGCAGAGTTTCCTTTGGTCATCCTAGAGACAGTGCTTGCAGGGGACATTATTTTCATTTAGCTGAAGAAAAACAGTGCATTCTGTGAATCTGCAAATTCATCACTCACATGTGCAAGCTTGTGGAAACATGGCGAGACCTGGTGTAATTAATTTTCCTTCCGGGCAGGGTGGTTCAACTTTTTTTTATCAAGAGTGTTATTGGTTTTAGCCAAGATGCAGTTTAGGAGTAAACGTTTATCTGATCAAACAAAATCTTCAGTGGACTGAAAACAATGTAATTCAAACAAACTCAAAATGTAATTTCAGCATTTCAGCAAAAATGCCTCTATTCAGCGTCCTATGTGCAGTGGGTCATGATTGTATTGTTCACTTATCTCTGATCTGTCCTGTCTGGGTTATAACAGGGAGCTTATTAGCATGAGCAAGTGGGGGAGTTAATAAGGCATGCATAACATGAATGTTGCTTGCCAAAGGCTGAAATTCCAATATATTTCTAAAGACCTCTTCAAATTCAGAGTGTGACCTAAAGCAGTGAAACCCTTGTGACAGGGGTGAGCTGATATAACCTGCATAATTTTTATAAAAAAATTTGAAACTCTTGTTTCCTCTTATACTTCCTGAACTATGCTAAGCACTGTACATGAAGTTGGTAGAAGTCGCCAAAATGATGATCTATTTTTGTATTTTCTTATTACCTCACTGACTATTTTAAGCAGTTATGATATTAGTTAAAATGAATTTTGATGATAATGAGAGTCAGATATAGACTTGAGATGCCATGAGGGTGGTTTGTGTTAGGTCCTCCCACAGGGTAGTAGGGGCCGGAACTCTTAACATTTTTGGCTGTTACATTGCCTTATTTGGATGCTGAAACATGCTGAAACCAAACATGTTTTTGCTGCAACATTTTGAATCATTTACTTCAATGTAAACATAAATTTCTTTCATAATAATCCATCGGATCATAGGGATTATTATAAGGAAAAAATTAAATTTTAATACCATAACTTCCTCATACAATGCAAAGTGTCCTTCAAAATGATACCTCCAATTCAGATAATTCTCTGACTGTATACAATATACATTGTGGGTTTTTTTTTTTGGCTCATATGTATTTCTCCAAGCTTAATTAACACACAGTAAATACAAAACAATACAGAATAGTTCTTACTTGGGCTAAAATTGTATGCACAGAAAACAACACAGAGGTTCATTCAGAAATCATAAGATAATATTGTTTTAAGCAGAGTCAAATCTCAGAAATAACAATTACAACAGCGTCAACAACAAATGAAATACATAGGCACTTTGAAAGGAAGAATAGGAGATTAGTAGTACTTTATGTGAAAGCTGCCTATGAATGACCATGCAGTGCCATAAAGATGTGTAACAATATATTATTATTATTGAGGTTGAAGTAGAAAATTACCAGTAGCAGAACATACATTGTATCATACTTGCTGTTATTGCCAATGCTCTGAGACCCCAGTAACACCTGTTTTGTTATATAATAGATTTTATAAAGCTACAATAAGTAGATGTAGTGTCCATGTCCACTGTTCTTTTTTACATAAAGTTTGTTTTTACAGAAAATGGGGAAGAAAAATGGGGGACTCTCTGATGCTTGTGTTGGTGTAATTCTGAGTGTCTGCTTTGAAGTGTCCTCTACATTATATCTGGGATTAAATAATACTATTATACATGGAACATTTTCAATGTTACGATAAAAGCTTGTTTGTTTTAGTCCAAATTCAGGAAACAGAGAGGCAAGGAAGAAACTGCAGAAACCTATTTTTTGGCCGGCAGGTCTATGATGTGGTGGGCGGTAAGTACATTTTACATTCAGTCCTTTTGTAATAACTTTGAATTTTCTTTCTTGGTTGAATTATTGTTTCCACTTGGAAGGTTAGGGTTGGAAGTTACTTTATTTCTTCGGGATCTATGACTGTCACTAATTTGTATTAATGTTAATTGAATTGTTAGGTTGGGCCCAGTTTGTTTGCCAGTAACATTGGTAGTGAGCATTTTGTTGGTCTGGCTGGATCAGGTGCAGCAACAGGCATTGGAGTTGTATCCTATGAATGGCAGGTACAGGCACATTCTGTTTAGGGCTGTGTACATGGAGGGAGGGAAGATCCTAGCTAATACTAGGAAGATCATAGAAGGCCAAACTCCCTTAACTTTCTGTTGAGTTAACTTGCAGAAATTTTAGTCAGTGTGGTGCCCAAGTAGAGAAGGTTTGATTGGGAATTAAAAATTGTGGGCAACAAAAGCCAAATGTAGTTTGGGCCCTTCTGTTCTCTTTGCTAGCATTAACAAGAAACTTTCCGCAGAATTATCACAATTATCAGGTCATGGTAACACCAAACAAAATGGTTGGCCTCTATGGCTGTGATTGTCCACTGAACGAACCGTCAGTGACCATTTTTGCAGTCTGGTTTGTCCCTAGTACTAGGATCTTCTTAGCGAAGGCAGTTTATATCAGGTGCTGGATCTTTTGTTGTGCTACCTCTCAGCGAGGACGATCTTAGTACTAGGAAGATCCTAGCCAGGGTTGTATCTAGGATTTAGCGTCAGGGGGAGAAGTCCCAAGTGGGTGAAGGCCCTAAGCTTCCTAGGGGGGGCCTGCTGAGATGCAATCTGGTGCATTTTGAGACACAATTTTGAGAAATGTTACAGTGTGTCACTTCTGAATGATTCTTCCAACACAGTTACTTATATACTGAATATATACTATATACTGAAATGATAACAATATTTTTGCAGGGGAGGCTGGGTTTTCTGGGGTGGGGGGAGCTTCTACCCCTCAAATACCCTAGATAGAACCCTGCTAGCAGTAGAGACAAGTACAACCCTTTGCATGTAAACCGAATACAGAAAACACATGGCGCTGCAGGTATAATCCACCTTCAAGGATCTTCCTGGTGTTAGACCTTCCTCTCTCCACGCAAACAGCCCAAAGTGACGAGTATTGATGGATCAATGAAACAGTAAAAATTTGAATGTCAAATTTCAATGAATGTTCCAATATTTAAGTTAATTATGAGGACTGAATAGTGGGCATTGAGTTACTAAGTCGAAGGTTAGCTTTTTTTTTCAAGTAATACAATTTCATCCCATGTTAATAATATATCGGCCCTTGATAAGGTTATTATTATGATCATTAGCATTATTATTATTCATTGTCATTGCATGCATGTATTAATTCATGTATATTTTTGTAGGCATGCTGGATTCTGCTGCTTCTTGGCTGGATTTTCGTCCCAATCTACATCCGATCCAGGGTTAGTATTGACAGTATTCATTACTTGTTGCATGTTCATTGCACAGACTATTTCACAAACATTTTACACACCAACCACAAAAAGCATTTCTCTTTGGTAGACACCAGTAATGCTTCAGAGTGCAAAGAAAATCATTTTTACAGCTTGCCATTCGGGCAAGCTGAAGCTAGCATTTACTAGCCCAGATGTGATTTCAACTAGCCCCAAAAACTTTTTGACTGGCAGAATTGATTTCATAGTTCTTCTGTTATTCGAATTCCTCAAAAAAAATCACTTGCCTGTTGGGCAAGTTAAAAACAGAATTCACGAGCCCTATAGCAAAATCCACTAGCCCCAGGCTATCGGACACTACTCTTTGCACGCTGTGCTTACCACTCTACTGGATCTAAAATTATAAGAGAACTTTCAGGGTAACAGTTGCAATTAAATCACTAATATTATGCTGCATTAGAGTAGGGGAGTGTATCATTCAGGCAGCGAGTAAATTTCATGAGGTACTGGTGTGGTTTGGCAACACTTGCTTACATTATTTTTTCTTATTTTTTTTTTCTGCTACTTAACAGAAAAGCATTGAATAAATGTCATGACAAATAAAAGTGCTTGACTGTTAGTCTGCATGAGTGCCTCATTGAACATTCAATAAACACAAACAATCTCTTAATCTTGTACAATAATTGTAATTAAATTACACAATTATTGTGTAATTTAATTAAATGTACATGTATAATACACGTAGAATCTGACATAATGCATAATGTTTAAAAATATTTAGGTGTTTACAATGCCTGAATTTCTGCAAAAGAGATTCCAGAATCAGTGGATCCGAACATATTTGACTGCTGTGGCTTTGATCTCCTATGTGTTTACCAAGTTCTCAGTGAGTTTTCATTTTGCTTGTTAACTTTTTATATAATTACATGTATTTGCAGTCTGATTTAAAGTTAGTGAAAGGCCTTCAATAAAAATATGAAAAAGTTAGCAAATCATGCATCCAAAAAGGTTTTTTAAATATAGTTGTTATGGAGAACTGATACCATCGTTTTTGCTACATCAAATACCCCCCTTCCCCCCAAATAAGCCCCCCATCTCTGTTTAAAAAAAAAATCAAAATTGTTTGAAATAGCCCCCAGGAGGCTTAATAGAGGAGTTATGGTAAGATCATTGTTGCGTACAATAAATTGCACCATAACATTAACTCAGAAGTCCTCGTAGTGAGCGTACAGTGTGTAACGTATCAAAATAATGTTTCGTTAGGTTGATATCTACGCTGGAAGTTTGTTTCTGTATGAAGCTGTTGGTTGGAATATTTACATCTCTGCTGCTGCCACTTTGGCAATAACTGCTATCTACACAGTCCTGGGTATTTAAACTTATTCTGCTATTTGTTACTTTTGATAGTAATGTTTTGTGCTTAAAAAAATGATTTTTAGGGACAGTCTCAGTGTGACACAGTTTCTATTTCAAGTAAACACAAACTGGACACCGTGGTAAGACATGTAGAGGACTGTGTAGCATAAATTTATGCAGACTTAAGTATGTGGGACAAATATGATGTAATTTCAATTTCTGTTGTCACTTAGTCATAACAGTCGCAATCATTAAAGTCCACATCACTCATCCATCAGTACAGTAATCTTATACATTCAGCTCCATTGTTAACCCTTTAAGCCCCAATATCCACATACAAATTCTCCAAACCGATCTCTATACATTTCTTTTAAGAATTAGTTAAGAGAATTTGATAAAAGATCAAAGTATTTTCTCTTAGGTGATCATTTTATTAATTCTCTTAACCTCACCTCATGACAATGTATGGATATCGTTAGGAGAAAATTGCTGTTGGTCACTATCGGGACTTAAAGGGGCCATATATAATCTATATACCATGGATAAATTCGGTAACAGTGCTGTGGCTAAAATTTCAAGTTGCTGGGTATATCCGTTTAGTAGGAGGGGAATTGCACAGCAAGGAAGTACTTTTGGTTCTATTTTCCTTTTGTTTCCTATGAAAGTAGCCGGGGTCTCATGCTCATAATAGCCAAGGAATGTCCCCAACCCCAGGATCTTAGTGACAGCCCTGATGAGTACCATGCTGCACTTTAAGTTAAGACATTCTGTCTTAAGGTGTAGGGGCATTTACAGTTACTTGAATTGGGGATAAATTTCATAATGTACAAGTTTCAGACCTGGGAGTTGCTTCATGTAGTTCCAAGGGGGTGGGGGTGCATTTATGCAAAGCTGGGCCAGGTTGTTCAAAGCAGGGTTAAGATAACCCAGGGCTAGTGCGAAATTTGAATCCAGATATGAAAACTTAAAATGCAAATAAGTTTTATTCTTTTTGCCTATAATTTGATTAGTGGATGCTCTAAAAAGAATAGAGAAAATTATCCAGGAAAATGCTTTGAACAAAAGAAAAAGAAACTCAGGTTAAAATTTAACCCTGTGTTTGCACTAACCAGCTTGCGAACAACTGGGCCCTGAAGACTTACCATAAAATTCCGAAAATAAGCCCCTCCTTGTATAAGCCCCTCCAAATATAAGCCCCCCAAACTCGTGACGCTCGGGGGCTTGTACTTGGAAAATTGCCCTCAAATACAAAGTAAAACAAAGCAAAAACGGTAAATTTACTTCCAAATATAAGGCTAGCCCATTTGATTTTGAAACCCAAATTTCCCTCCCTAGATAAGCCCCTCCGAATATAAGCACCTCCAAAAATAAGCCCCTCAAAAAGGGCCTTGAAAAAATATAAGCCCTGGGGCTTATTTTCGGAATTTTATGGTATTTGAGTACAGCTGTACTTAGCATACTGTGCACTCTTGGTTATTATCCCAGGTGGCCTGACTGCTGTGATCTACACAGATGTCCTTCAGTGTACCATCATGCTTCTTGGGGCTATTGTGCTGGCAATCATGAGTAAGTACTATTATACAAAATTAATAGATATGGTTCTTCAACTGCCTATTACTGGCCATGACAAGCCATGGGTACTTAAAATTTAACACTGTAAAGCCAGAAATTCTGGTTGGAAACTCAAATGGCTCGCACAATTTCATTTGGGAAGCTTCGTCAGAAATTGTGGGTTGTAATGTGAGAGAAGGCAATTTTTCTACACTATTTTGCCTGTCCAACTTATTAGGATATACTTTGTAGTGGGTTGTTCTGGCATGAATTTGTTAATGGTAAAGCACCCACATATCCCATGAATCATTTTCTGACATTAATTTGGTATCAGGAACAAAACATTACGCAGCCCATACCAGTATCAGTCATCTTGTAAGAGTTTTGAGCGAAATTTCCAGGTACAGATGGGTTAAACAGCAGTCTCAAATAATTATTATGAAGCATTAATAATTTCACATTTTTTTTTTTTTCTTTTTTTCATGTGTTAAGGCTTTGTCAAAGTTGGAGGATATAATGGCCTTTGGGGAAAGTATGCAACCGCTGTTGGGACATCAGTTCATGCCACAATGGCTCCAACAGCAGCAACAGCCGGCAACATCTCAACTACAGTTGCAACTATTGCAACAACTATGGTCAATCTTACCAGTAACATGACCACTCCCTCACCAACTAAAGGATCAGATCTCGAGGCCTGTTTCAAAGTAACTCCATATTGGGGTAACATGTTTCGACCCCTGGATGATCCTGGCTACCCCTGGCTTGGCCTGTGGACAACGCTGCCCATCATGGGAGTTTGGTATTGGTGTACTGACCAGGTAGAATAAGAGTTCTTAGTGTGTACTGGCATAGGGTGCTTACCATTTGACAGGAAAATCCAGTTGGGGTGTCAAAAGCATAATGGTACACAATTTACCAGTCTACCATAGAATTGCCACATCCATTACAGTTTGAATCCAAAAAAAGGGGTGAATTTGTGTAGTACAAGAAGTTGGTAAATGGTACATCTAAGCCACATTTAGTTTGGTTTGTACAAACTGGAATGAATGGACTACCTCAAATCATACTCCTCAAATGTTTCTGGAATTTCCGAAAAGTGAGCTTACCATTTACCTTCCATCCGGAATTTCCAAAATTTTCTGTCAAACAGTAAGCACCCGTGATCTTCATGTAAAACTTACAATAAGGAATAAAAGCTTACTTGAATTTTACTTTTCCTTCATGGTGCGTTTCAGAAATGCATTAACTGGTGAAGCAGATAAGTACATGCTTTTCAGTGAGACACAGCACTTTGGCAGCTTTTCTGTTGTGTACCATCTCATACGTTGCCTTGAAATTCATAATTATGTATTAATCATTTCATCTTCATCTTTCTTCGGTATATCATTAATCCATTTAATAACCAACTGCATAAGTTATTATGTTGCATCTTTAACTGCAATGGCCTCCTTTGCATTTATTGGGTTAATTGTTAGTAGAAATCAAAATCCTATGAAAATAGAGGATATTACATGGCCACGCGGAGATACGAAAGTTCTCTTTCAGTCTTGAAAAATATTTCATGCGTGATTAAAATTACAAGTATTAGAAATTAGTTCTAAATGCAAGTGATCTGATTGTGTTCAATACATTCCATTCATTCTTAGGGGAAGTCCAAACGAAGGTGGCTGCATACGTGCGGTTTATCCCTAGCAACCTGTAGATTAGAAATGCAGTCTCCTCTTGTCACCTGCAATTAATTAATACATCTACATTTCTAGACATAGTTATAATCAAATTTAAATTTATGATTTTTTTTTTTAATTTTTTCCTAGGTGATTGTTCAACGAGCTCTTGGTGCCAAGAACAACGTCCATGCCAAGGCTGGCTCAATTTTGGCTGGTTTCTTGAAAATCCTTCCAATTTTCATCATGGTTATGCCTGGTATGATTGCTCGTGTGTTGTATGCTGATTCAATTGCTTGCCCAGACCCTGAATCCTGTGTTTTCCACTGTGATAACAAATGGGGATGTACTAACAATGCTTATCCCAAGTAAGTTAATTAGATTGATTACCGTACCTGCCTTAGCTTGTCTCCCTCCTAGTGTCTTTGCCATCTGTTTTATGCAGTTACAGGCTTTCCGATAGACTGCAAAAATTAAGTATAGTGAACTCATGAAATTATGCAGACATTTCTGGAGGTCAGCTATTTCATCTGCCTGTAATACCGTATAAAGTGCAGTGCAGTTTTAAGCCTCCTGAAAGAGTGTTAAGATGGAATCCACCAGGAAATTGAGTAATTTTAATTTTCAGTGGACAACAACCTTGTACTAGAATAATTTAAAGCATAATTATTGCATTCAAATTTATATTTTTGAAGGGCTTATGATGTAATTAGTCATCTGCAATATGAGCAAATGAAAGTCAAATTTCACAAAATTACATCTTTTACATGAAATTTTCAGAAATTTACCGGTGTTGTCACAACAATAATTGTGAAATTTGGCATTCATTTTCTCGGACTCCCATGAGAAATTTTCTTTGGTGTTAATACAGATGACTTATTACATCTTTAGCCCTTCAAAAATATAATAAAGAATGCAATATTCTTTAAATTATTTTGGTACAAAGTTTTTGTCCACTGAGAATAAAAATTGCTCAATTTCCTGGTGGATTCCTTCTTAATACTATATGAAGTAAATTATGCAAACATCCTGAAACTCACATTATACAGCAAAGAAATGTTTATTATGATGGTGTTAAATAAAGGATGGAAAATACCAATATTTAACGGTTTAGTGGTAAGCCAGTGACATAACATGTATAAAGTATGCACTGTTATGTCTTAAGTGGTAATTATTGTCTGACAAGAGAGAAATTATGTCATCTGAAGATTTTTTTTTCCTTTTTTTTTTAGACTGGTTCTAAATGTCCTTCCGGTTGGTCTGGTGGGGCTTATGATGGCTGTTATGATGGCAGCATTGATGTCTTCACTTTCATCAGCTTTCAACAGCAGTGCTACCATCTTCACTGTTGATATTTGGTTGCGTGCAAGGCCTCGGGTATGTTAAACACAGATGCATTGTTTGGTGGATTTTGAAGCTCTGTTAGAATCATTGCAGTTGGAAAAAATTAGGTTGCATGTCTGCATGTATTTCTAGCCATGATTCATTTCTCTCTCTTATGTCCAGAAATGCACACAACTTGGACCTTGGGTAGTTCATATTACTACTAAATCGGCCACAGCTGAGCCAAGCCAATACTTCATATTGGCACAATATTATTTGTAATTTCCATATCACTAAATGTTTGACAGAGTAGCTTGTGTTAGTGTGAGGTAATGTGAGTCTCATTAGTGTGCATTTCTGGACATAACTAATTCCTTCTGAAAAATTCAAAACACTTTTACAATAATAATTATTATTTAATCTCATTTTGTCGGAAGAAACAAAGAATTCCAAAATTGATTCATCAGCCTAGCAGCAGTATACTGATCACATGACTCAGAATAATGAAATAAAAGTTAGTGTTGGATGAAGTTATGGAAATGCATGTGATCCTGGAAGGACCTCGAAGGGATGCATTATATTTTCGCGAGAAGATCAAACTTTAACTGTATTTTAAAAATGTTTCTCTTTTGTTCATTCCGTAGGCTTCAGAGAGAGAACAGGTCATCGTGGGCCGAGTGGTTGTTGCTGTTCTTGTTGGCGTCAGTTTGTGCTGGCTGCCTGTCATCAAAGGATCTGCTGGAAAGGAACTGTTTGTTTATATTCAGACCATTCAATCCTACCTGGCTCCTCCTATCACCATGGTGTTTGGACTGGGTATCCTGTGGACTGGTCTTACTGCTGCCGGTGCATTATCAGGGCTCATCATTGGTTTTATCCTGGGAATGGCCAAGTTTATTGCTGGAAATGTCTACTCGAGCCCTGAATGCGGCAAAGAAGATGATCGCCCAGGATTTGCAAAGATGCACTTCATGTATTATGGTGAGAATTGCTACTATCTTAAATACTACTGCAGACCTATAGAAATTAATTCATCTTCATTGCCATGGACAAAGGCTCAAAAATTTAAAAACAACATATTTTTCTTGATCACGAACATGACTGTTATTACCTGGAATGTAAGATATTATGATGGTCCTTCCACAATTTCTTAACCTTGCATCTTAGATGTGCAGTCCTAATTGTCTGCAGTTGTCAAACTTTGTTCTGTTTCAATATCATTATTATATACATTGTAACAACTGTAAGTCACCCCAGCACTATGTTGTTCGGGCGCTGTCTTTCAGCTGTGAACTGTCACATATTTTGTGCCTTAGTTTAAAGTTTGCCCCACGACCATTCCAAGTCATTAATAGTAGATGATAATCCTTGCCATATATCTCTTTTCTTTTCGTCAGCCATTATCATCTTCGGAGTCAGTGGTACTGTGATGGTTGTGGTCAGTTTCTTCACAAAGAAAATCCCACGAAGTGAACTTGGAGGACTGACATGGAGTACCATCAATGAAGCCCCCATTGCTTTTGGTGCCATTGGTGAACATCATGACCACCAGAAGGTTGAAAATNGGCCGAGTGGTTGTTGCTGTTCTTGTTGGCGTCAGTTTGTGCTGGCTGCCTGTCATCAAAGGATCTGCTGGAAAGGAACTGTTTGTTTATATTCAGACCATTCAATCCTACCTGGCTCCTCCTATCACCATGGTGTTTGGACTGGGTATCCTGTGGACTGGTCTTACTGCTGCCGGTGCATTATCAGGGCTCATCATTGGTTTTATCCTGGGAATGGCCAAGTTTATTGCTGGAAATGTCTACTCGAGCCCTGAATGCGGCAAAGAAGATGATCGCCCAGGATTTGCAAAGATGCACTTCATGTATTATGGTGAGAATTGCTACTATCTTAAATACTACTGCAGACCTATAGAAATTAATTCATCTTCATTGCCATGGACAAAGGCTCAAAAATTTAAAAACAACATATTTTTCTTGATCACGAACATGACTGTTATTACCTGGAATGTAAGATATTATGATGGTCCTTCCACAATTTCTTAACCTTGCATCTTAGATGTGCAGTCCTAATTGTCTGCAGTTGTCAAACTTTGTTCTGTTTCAATATCATTATTATATACATTGTAACAACTGTAAGTCACCCCAGCACTATGTTGTTCGGGCGCTGTCTTTCAGCTGTGAACTGTCACATATTTTGTGCCTTAGTTTAAAGTTTGCCCCACGACCATTCCAAGTCATTAATAGTAGATGATAATCCTTGCCATATATCTCTTTTCTTTTCGTCAGCCATTATCATCTTCGGAGTCAGTGGTACTGTGATGGTTGTGGTCAGTTTCTTCACAAAGAAAATCCCACGAAGTGAACTTGGAGGACTGACATGGAGTACCATCAATGAAGCCCCCATTGCTTTTGGTGCCATTGGTGAACATCATGACCACCAGAAGGTTGAAAATGGAACTATCTCTAGCCATGAAGCTGTGGAACTCATTGAGAAAAATGGTGAAATCCCTCTCTTGTTTGTTTGTTTGTTTTTGTTCTTTATTAAGGACAACAGGCAGCATGGCTGAGTGATTTAGAGTGCTCAAAATGTTATTCTGTCTTTGTTTCAACAACAAAATAATGGTATTCTTTGCTGACCAGTACTCATCACTCCCATACTGCAGTACATGTACATTAAAGTAAGAACTCTGCACACATCCCCCCTAGTTAATAGTTAATTGTATATGGCAGGGCTGTCATTAATTTTCAGCATGGCTGAGTGATTTAGAGTGCTCAAAATGTTATTCTGTCTTTGTCTCAACTACAAAATAAAGGTATTCTTTGCTGACCAGTACTCATCACTCCCATACTGCAGTACATGTACATTAAAGTAAGAACTCTGCACACATTCCCGCTAGTTAATATTTAGTTGTATATGGCAGGGCTGTCATTAATTTTTAGAGCAGGAATAGCAAATAAAGATTCACCTGACTCATCTCACATGAAATTTATGGTAACACCTTGAGCTTTCCACATTGATCACCCATCACATCAAGTGAGCTCAGCTATAACAGGTGTTACAGGTTTATGGCCCTAATTACAGCTCAGTATCGTGTGTACAGTGTATTGACTTTTGTTGTTATTATTGTTATTTATTAGGTGACATAAGCCCAACAACCCGTGTGGAAACTTCTTTTGATGTTGGAGGAGATCATGGTATTGTTGAAAAGAATGGTCCAGAGAAGGCCTTGAAAGAAGAAGCAATTGCAATCAGTGATGCAACAAACGAAAAAGTCAAGCTCACAATTGTGCAGTTTACTGAAGAGGATCCCATCCTGAAATGGTTCTTACGAATCATGAGTGTCATGCTGCTCGTCTGTTTGCTCTTCTTGTGGATTTACTATCGTTAACTGACAGGGATAAAGTAACACAACCATCAAATAACACTTGTAGTACATGTATGTATAGTGTACTAGTACACGTAGACTACGTAACTGGCAAGTTACATGTACAGTGAAGTATCTATAATGAAAAATCTAATTAGCTGCATGCATAATGCTCTAGAACTTCTCAAGTTAACATTGTCTTGCACTTTTACATGCATATTTGCCATAATCATAGCTTTGCTCTCAAATAAATAATCTGTCAGTTACGCAGGCTATTAAATTTGTTACTCACAGTGGAACGTTAAAACAGTACTCAGGTTATGTTGTAATCAGGGAGGAGTGAGTCCTTTGGGGTGCCAGTTGGGAGGGCAGGGGAGCTATTTCAAGGGAAGTGGAAATTTTTGGTTTGGAAAAGTCAAAGTCATCTATTTTTATTTATTTTTTGTATTTAAATAACTTTATCAAGACACTGACAAAGGATAAATGAAAAAAGTGGCACTGCAATGGCTGTAGCCATTGTTACAGTCAGAAGGCCCAAGGGTTGATGGAAAGTGACCTGAAGCATTTGTGTATTGAGGAAAGGGGGGGTTTTCTGGGTTTGGACATTTTTCAAAGTTGCTATAGCCCTACAGAAAATGACAGGCCGTACAAAAGTTCACTATACCTCTGTATGCTACTAAAACATGATAGAATTCCACTTGTTAGCAGTAGATCCATTAAAAGTTAACTAAAATCATGATGGAATTCCCTGTTAGCAGTAGATGCATGAGCCCACTGGCAGGTTTTTTTCTTTTCATGAAACATGAGTCTGTAAAAGACACCTTTCAGTATTATTGTACAGGTTAATACAGTTAACATGCAAGGTTTGGGAAAGTCCTGTCCAGTCATCTGGGGAAAAACAATTTTTTGTTGGGCAAGTAGATTTTCATGCTCGCTTGTCCAATGGGGAAAGGTATAGACAAGTCTTAACTAAATCGTAAAATTAGATAAGGATACAATGGCCTTGGGCAAGCAAAATTTGAGCACTGTTTGTCCCAAGGACAATAAGTACTCAAATTATAACTATTTTATGTTTTGAAGTCGTGATTACGTGACTGTAGGTGATAATATACAAATACACCTGTACATGAGCATTTAGTGATTTGAAAAACATTGATTTACAGAGAAGTTAATTTTTGTCAATTTTATTACTTTTTTGGCTTCAAGGAACAATGTAACATAGTACTACTGCTGGTCTTACTTTCTTAAACAAGTTGTGATATTGTATCTAGTTTGCTACTAGTGCACACTTTAAAATTCCTTTAGAGTTTCGAGAGGCTTCTGGTTGTAAATTCCAGGGACAGAATGGCAGATACATGTAATGTGGGTGGGGCAATTACTTCAGGGATACACTGTATTAAACCAGAAAAAAAGGAAATAGGAAAGGGGGTTAGTGGGGCCCTTGTGTTCAGTGTAAGTTATAGTTTATTAATTTTATGTTGAAAATCAAAATAATACTGACATCAACACAAAAGTACTTCTGACGAGGTTCATTTCTACAGTATCATGTGACTACTCCAACAGGGACCTTAATTTGAGGCCATTGCTTGAAACACTACCTCAGCTGTCTTCACAAAGTTAACTCTAGCATTGTTGTTTTTGCAAATGGTGCATTCACTAAGGAACATTGATTTATCTGTAATTTTTTCCCACAAGGTGAGGCAGATGTGCACAGGATTCCCACCTACCCCCATATTAAAAATTTGGAGATGAATGCCTTAATTGAGTGTTAGTCAACACAAGACGTGTGTCATTTTTATTGTAAAAAAAAAACATTGCAAACAAAGGGTGTGGATTATTTTTATGGTCGACACTGTGTTAATAGAAAAGACCTCAGAATGTTGCAATTTTTGCATTGAAAAGCTGTCACGGGAGACCTTAAATCCCATTGTGGTGTAAGGATCATAATAGTATGGCGTAGTAATTGTTTCAGTATTAGAGGGCAGGTTAAGTCTTATGAATTGTCTTTTTAAGAATGAAGTTGTCAAATGTTGTTCCTAGTGGCTTAGTTATGCATGGTTAATTTGTATTAGGAAGAAGAACAGTGCATAGAAGATGCTGAAGTAGTATTAAATATTGTCGAATAAGTATAAAGTTTGGTTCTGCTTGATAGACATTGTGTGCATTCATTGTACATTAAAGGCTGCTAACGCTTTACTCACACTTGCAGCTTAATAATGATCAGTTATAATTTGTAATAATAAATAGCTTATTAGATCTTGTGGGGGCAGGTTAATGAAACCCAGTAGCAAAACGACACAATATTTCTGAATCGGCCAGGAAGGTCTGGTATAAGTGAGAATTTAACTCATTCCTGTCCTCATTGGCCCTTTGCAGTTCTTGCCACTGGCACCTAGACACAAGAGTCTTGGCTCCAGTCGACAAGTAAGAGGGCAGCGGGTTTGTTGCAGGTTTTTTTAGCTTCTGAGCCTGCATAGCATGGCAGGCGCTGATTGAGCAGCTAAGCGCCTGGCAATTTTTTTTTAGTACCATGGATGTAATTTCTTTGTTTTATGACTCTGCCCCTACTATCTAATCAAATCATGTGATCATTATATCATTGATCATATGATTATTATCTATTTAAGTATTACTCTTTGTGTGTTGATAATCAAGGTCTTAAAGATAGTTTTAATCATACAAATTTTATAGCTGAGTTTTTATATAAACTTGCATTACTTATATAACTAGAAGGGGCAGTATGCACAGGAAGAAATGTTGCGTGCTTCAGTAGAGGGTAACTCCTTTATTTGCTTGCAACTTTTAACTTGTACACACTGTCCATGGGAGAGCATAATCAATACATATCGTAGTTTACATATATTTTGGTATATCCTAATCATATCCATGGAATAATCATGGTAAATATTGTTTATTAAAGTGTGTTGATTATGTGGTTTATATGTTTTGGTATATCCTAACTATATCCATTGTGTAATGGTAAAACTGGCTATTTAATGCGTGCGGATTAAAGGCTGATATGCCAAATGTTAGAAAGGTGTGAATGCTTTTCTGGTCATTTCTTATTGCTGTTATGTAATTTACGACACAAATCGTCTTTGGTTTATAGGTCTCATACACTGTTGTCGGAATTCCCTACCAACTGGTACATTCCACAAGTGGGTACTTGGAATGTAGCCTCCAAAAGGTTGCCACCGTGACCGCGAGGACGCGTGTGGGGTCACCCGCGAGGTTCGCGTGGATTGATACCGACGCGGTTCTTTAAACGTTTGATTTTCAGAGCGACCTTGCAAGCTAATAAACTGTCAAAATGACGTTAAATGTTTGGTAGATAGTCTAAATTTGTAGTCTTGTTCGGGTGGAGGGAAGGATTAACCCCGGGGGATTAACGTAAATTAAATTTTGCTCTAGGTGGATTATCAAACATCGCGTCTTTAAAAAATTCAGCTGGTCGACATTATGTTTATATGCTTAAATTTTCCCGTAGCACAGTTTTCAACCCTCCTGAATTACGTCAACAACATTCAAAAATTGTTGGGCAACTTGTAAACATTTTTTGTCAGCCGACAACAGCGGTGCCCTCCTATTCTTTCAACCCTGTGACTAAAAATATTGAACGCCTGTTGTAATTTTATCCGGCAAGTATGGCAGGTCAGATTCTGCATGTCAAAAAACAGGTCACCCGGCCTACTACAGATCAATAAACAAGACCAGAAGTGTCTTCTAGCCGTAAACCCTATCCAAAATGTTGTTTTTTATCGAGGGGAAACTATTTGGTTTAGTTCGCCGGTCAATAAAACAGTGACCAGTATAAATCGTGACCCATGGAAAGCGACCTGTTTGAGAAACCTCTCTTTTCTACTTTTCGTCAACAATTGAACTCTTAAAAACATAACAATGTCTTACGTAGTGAAATACACTAATGATCAGTGCGTACATTTGCTCGTTATTTCTCAAAGAGTACAAACAAAATGGTCTAGAAACACTTACGTTTCGCCTTGCTTGTCACGTTTGGTTATCATGAGATGAGAATTTACCGTATGTCACGAGAGCCTCCTTCACGTTGAAAATGGACAGCGGCAAACGAGCGCCCCTCCATCCGCGGCGGGAAAGTGTCATCTTGATCACGTGACTATCCGTTTTTAAAATTGCAATCAAGCATTCCATTTCAATCAACTTCAATCATCACGCAATATTTTACTTTAAACCAGAAAAAAAGGAAATGGGAAAGGGGGTTAGTGGGGCCCTTGTGTTCAGTGTAAGTTATAGTTTATTAATTTTATGTTGAAAATCAAAATAATACTGACATCAACACAGAAGTACTTCTGGAGAGGTTCATTTCTACAGTGTAATGTGGCCACTCCAACATAGATCTTAATTTCAGGCCCTTGCTTGAAACACTACATCAGCTGTCTTCACAAAGTTAACTCTAGCAGTGTTGTTTTTGCAAATGGTGCATTCACTAAGGAACATTGATTTATTGGTAATTTTTTCCCACAAGGTGAAGCAGATCTGCACAGGATACCCACCTACCCCCACATTAAAAAATTTTTAGATGAATGCCTTAATTGAGTGTTAGTCAACACAAGAGGTGTCATTTTTATTGTAAAAAAAAACATTGCAAACAAAGGGTGTGGACTATTTTTATGGTCAACACTGTGTTAATAGAAAAGACGTCAGAATGTTGCAATTTTTGCATTGAAAAGCTGTCAAGGGAGACCTTAAATCCCATTGTGGTGTAAGGATCATAATAGTATGGCGTAGTAATTGTTTCAGTATTAGAGGGCAGGTTAAGTCTTATGAATTGTCTTTTTAAGAATGAAGTTGTCAAATGTTGTTCTTAGTGGCTTAGTTACGCAAGGTTAATTTGTATTAGGGAGAAGAACAGTGCTTAGAAAATGCTGAAGTAGTATTAAATATTGTCGAATAAGTATAAAGTTTGGTTCTGCTCTGCTAGACATTGTGTGCATTCATTGTAAATTAAAGGCTGCTAATGCTTTACTCACACTTGCAGCTTAATAATAATCAGTTATAATTTGTAATAACAAATAGCTTATTAGATCTTGTGGGGGCAGGTCAATGAAACCCAGTAGCAAAACGACACAATATTTCTGAATCGGCCAGGAAGGTCTGGCATAAGTGAGAATTTAACTCACTCCTGTCCTCATTGGCCCTTTGCAGTTCTTGCCACTGGCACCTAGACACAAGAGTCTTGGCTCCAGTCGACAAGTAAGAGGGCAGCGGGTTTGTTGCAGGTTTTTTTAGCTTCTGAGCCTGCATAGCATGGCAGGCGCTGATTGAGCAGCTAAGCGCCTGGCAATTTTTTTTTAGTACCATGGATGTAATTTCTTTGTTTTATGACTCTGCCCCTACTATCTAATCAAATCATGTGATCATTATATCATTGATCATATGATTATTATCTATTTAAGTATTACTCTTTGTGTGTTGATAATCAAGGTCTTAAAGATAGTTTTAATCATACAAATTTTATAGCTGAGTTTTTATATAAACTTGCATTACTTATATAACTAGAAGGGGCAGTATGCACAGGAAGAAATGTTGCGTGCTTCAGTAGAGGGTAACTCCTTTATTTGCTTGCAACTTTTAACTTGTACACACTGTCCATGGGAGAGCATAATCAATACATATCGTAGTTTACATATATTTTGGTATATCCTAATCATATCCATGGAATAATCATGGTAAATATTGTTTATTAAAGCGTGTTGATTATGTGGTTTATATGTTTTGGTATATCCTAACTATATCCATTGTGTAATGGTAAAACTGGCTATTTAATGCGTGCGGATTAAAGGCTGATATGCCAAATGTTAGAAAGGTGTGAATGCTTTTCTGGTCATTTCTTATTGCTGTTATATAATTTACGACACAAATCGTCTTTGGTTTATAGGTCTCATACACTGTTGTCGGAATTCTCTACCAACTGGTACATTATTCCACAAGTGGGTAATTGGAATGTAGCCTCCAAAAGGTTGCCACCGTGACCGCGAGGACGCGTGTGGGGTCACCTGCGAGGTTCGCGTGAATTGATACCGACGCGGTTCTTTAAACGTTTGATTTTCAGAGCGACCTTGCAAGCTAATAAACTGTCAAAATGACGTTAAATGTTTGGTAGATAGTCTAAATTTGTAGTCTTGTTCGGGTGGAGGGAAGGATTAACCCCGGGGGATTAACGTAAATTAAATTTTGCTCTAGGTGGATTATCAAACATCGCGTCTTTAAAAAATTCAGCTGGTTGACATTATGTTTATATGCTTAAATTTTCCCGTAGCACAGTTTTCAACCCTCCTGAATTACGTCAACAACATTCACAAATTGTTGGGCAACTTGTAAACATTTTTTGTCAGCCGACAACAGCGGTGCCCTCCTATTCTTTCAACCCTGTGACTAAAAATATTGAACGCCTGTTGTAATTTTATCCGGCAAGTATGGCAGGTCAGATTCTGCATGTCAAAAAACAGGTCACCCGGCCTACTACAGATCAATAAACAAGACCAGAAGTGTCTTCTAGCCGTAAACCCTATCCAAAATGTTGTTTTTTATCGAGGGGAAACTATTTGGTTTAGTTCGCCGGTCAATAAAACAGTGACCAGTATAAATCGTGACCCATGGAAAGCGACCTGTTTGAGAAACCTCTCTTTTCTACTTTTCGTCAACAATTGAACTCTTAAAAACATAACAGTGTCTTACGTAGTGAAATACACTAATGATCAGTGCGTACATTTGCTCGTTATTTCTCAAAGAGTACAAACAAAATGGTCTAGAAACACTTACGTTTCGCCTTGCTTGTCACGTTTGGTTATCATGAGATGACCGTATGTCACGAGAGCCTCCTTCACGTTGAAAATGGACAGCGGCAAACGAGCGCCCCTCCATCCGCGGCGGGAAAGTGTCATCTTGATCACGTGACTATCCGTTTTTAAAATTGCAATCAAGCATTCCATTTCAATCAACTTCAATCATCACGCAATATTTTAATAGTAAAAACCATTAATAAACTTGCGGCCCTGACTGAAGAATTAATGTGAAGAATTAATCACATATCTTGAAATAATGCTCAAAGGATATGTTTACTCAGACTCGTACCCATGGCTTTTCCTTCACATTTGAGGGAAATAGCTGAGTACGCGGTTGCTCGTACAGTCATATCAGCAGCAAAAAATGTTGAAAAACAGTTCAAAATAAACAAACGTTGTCTTGCTACTGGAAGAGTACGCGCCGCGCAGAGGAATTGCTCTTAAGTATGGCGCAGTATTTGAGTAACTGAAATGAGGTGATTTTTTAATGTTTCGGCAGTGCATGGCTGAAAAAAGGGAGTTGGATGACGTTAACAACTTCGTTAGGTAGGCCTACGTAGAGTAACACCGCCCATACACAATTCTTTTACTATAAGTCGTATCAAGCTGACATATACTGGTCCCCGAACGGTTGCCTACGCCACTTCAGAAGGAAGACATTGTGATCTGCCACTCAGTACGAAAGGAAAACTATATCCTGTCTATACTAGACCCATACTATGGTTAAGATCGACCCGTCTCTTAGTGAGACTAAGAAAGTTTAGTTTTAACTTTCTTAGAAGTGTTACAACACTTCTCGGAACGCATTATATCGAGCTAGGGCTTAGGTGGGCATCGTGTTGTGAAATATTACATAACATAGTTATGCGGAAAGAAATAGTTCAAGAGAAGAGACTCTGCTGAGACAGAGAGATGATGATAATGATGAAAGACTTAACCTTATGGTGAGTGTACACCATCAGCGGGAGACAATCATTATATCTCTACAGGTATCGTTTTTAATACAGTTACCTTTCAACAAGGTTTCTTCTAATCCACTGCTCCAATGCACCTCTCAATGCCAAGAATGCTTGTTCGATAATTAATTTATTAGTCACATGTATTGAATGCCTCAAATCCGTGCTGCGACAGAAATTCCAGTTGTGAGTGGAACAATCGTTCTTGGTTTCATTCATAACAGAGAGCTTGAAGTGTCTTGTAAACGTAGGCCAGCTAAAAGTAAGAAATAAAATCCTGCTTCTGAATCCAAAGCAGGAGATATTAGGAAGGTTTTTATGTGTATTTTAACGGCCTTTACAGCATCCGGGTTCTTTCTGGGACACCAGCGGAACATTTTCATCTGCTTTGCACAAGTGTTGAATGAAAATGGTGTGATCTCGTTTGGCTTGATCACCCCAGTTAAGGTTATGCTGAAAAAAAAAAACAGCTCTCAAGCATAATAACTACTCCATTCGCAGGAATACTGAAATGACTGAAACAATAATGTTATTATTATTGTCCCATTTACAGTACATTGATCATGACTTACTCTGAAGCCACAAGTTTTACAAAATAGATCTAAGCATTGAGTTTCCAAAGACATTTTTGCAGTGTCATCAAACCCGACCTTCTGGTAAGTCTTTTGGAACTTTGACGAACTATACAAGATACGGTAAAATTTCGAAAATAAACCCCTCCATGTATAAGCCCCTCCAAATATAAGCTCCCCAAACTCGTGGCGCAAAAACTATAAGCTAACCCAATCGATTAAGAGACGCAAATTTCCCTCCAAGTATAAGCCTAGCCGATTTTGAAACCAGAACTTCCCTCCGTATATATAAGCCCCTCCGAATATAAGCTCCTCCAAAAATAAGCCCCTCAAAAAGGGCCTTTGAAAAATATAAGCCCCGGGGCTTATTTTCGGAATTTTACGATATCTGATATATGCCAATCTATGCCCACATACGTGAATCGTGATACTCTCATTGTTTTCGCAAAGTTACTTATCCTGTATTCAGCACGTGCTTTGACAAAGTACTTTTCAGTATGCACGTGCCCAACAGGCGTATCCTAAATTGAGCTTCATGCCCAGGGCTTTCTCTGCTACATTCCTTTCATACGAGTTGGAGTGCGTGGGGATCTGAAAATGCTAGGAATGTAGATTTTTGACAGCTCACCTTTGTCCTGGTGACCACGGGCCCCCTGGACTTTTCTGCAAAAAAATTAAACCGGGGATGCATGAGGAACTCCCTAAATTTGACTTCATCAGGAGCTGATGACTACACGCGCACGCGGTTGCTCCGCTCGAAAGGGGTCAATTCACACTTCAAAACGGGTCAAGAATGGGTAGATCAAATATTGAAAACTCCAAAAGAAACCCCGTACGGTTCAGTGTAAGCAAAATTCAAGATACTGAAGGCCCAGATTATCTGTTTTAGGTAATTTGTTGTAGGAGCAAATATAAAGTTTATTGTAACTAGACCAATACCTCCCTTTGGAGAGTAAGGCGCAATAAAGATATACTGTACCACACCATACTATTTAAGCATTATAAGCAGTTTTTCAAGCGAAAAGAAGGTCAAAATTGGACAGTAACCCATGCAAGAGTGGTCTCCTGCTCAAGTGCTATTAGTCTCGTCACGCAACGCTCCTCCCCAAAAGAACGGCGTTACGTAACAAGCGGTTGCGCAGGGGACTTTTAGAAGAGGGGCTAGACCGGTATGGGATCGGGAGGCGGAGCCGTCCCCGCTCGTACCCCACCCCAAACCCGCCCCTCTCGCGCGCGCTTCACACGAATGAAGGCGCCAAGAGTCATACTTTGCCGAATATGCGTATCTACAACAAACAACTATATTTTAGGAACTTCACTAAATAAACATTAAACTACTCATACGAATAATGAATGAGATCGTTACACATGTAAATCAAGATTATAGCATACAGTTTTATAAAAGCGAAATCGAACACGTGAATATGCCGTGCCTGGGTAATAATTCGACGTTAATGGGTTACATATTTACCACGCTGTCGAAGGCGTTTACAGGGTTTAGCTTTGTGAAACAATAAGAGGGGGTTTTGGATTCGTCTGTACTCCTGAACCCAAAATTAAACATACAGGTCAAGTGCAACCGCGTAACGCCGAACTACAAATACTGAAAAGACATCAAAACGGGGCCATTGGTCGGCGTAAAGAGAGGCGAGACGGACACAGAGACGAAGAGAGGGCACCACGATCACAGGCTAAGGTACGTTGAACCGAAGTTTTGCTCCAAATTCTCCATTTTAGCACTTTGAACACAACAGTAAATTTCCTATACAAGGTCTAGAAATCCCTTGTTGCGTAATATAGAGGCAAGGTATTAGATATTTACTAGGTTATAAAGCAGATGACTTGTACCCATCCGGCGTACATTGCTCACTGCCTGTGCGTTGACAAGGTGCTCCTATTGCCCCCGCTAAAGGAATAAATATTTCCAAGATAAATAGTCTCCCTCGTTCGTAGCCAAGTTCATTCCTGCTACAATTGATTTAAATCAGACATCAGACTGCACTTTTCACGGCCGGATCAATCAACAAAGGTTTCACTGATTACTGAAGCTTCTTAATTTCTGCAGGCGCAACGAATCGACAAAACAGGACCTTTTACGTAAGAATTGAACATGGTGTTCGTAGACCAGAAGCAGAAGTCCTTAGAAGTCTTAGACTGGGTGATAATTGGAGCTTATTTTCTTGGTTGCATATTTGTTGGTTTGTGGGTGAGTAACTCGTTAATTTCATTTTTTATTTGAAAAAGTGGGTAAGGCTATTCATGAAGCAGACACTTCAAATACTTCATCTCTGGTTACAAAAGGCGCCCCTGAACGATCAGATTAAATCTACGCTCGGTTATCACGCAAGATAAAAATATTACATTTTTAGTTGTTTACACATTTATTTATATTTGTGTTTATTTATTTGTCTGTTTAATTAATTTTTGGATCGAGTTTCTATCGTGCAGATCGAAAAGTTGTTGTTATTGAAAATCAGCTTCAAGAAGTTGCAAAAGCTAAAAAAAAGTGCATAATAGCCGCGCGCTTTTCTGCTGTGGGATTGTACTAAGGAAAGGCGAGTTTTTTAGGAATCTGGTGATCTTTTTCATTCTCTTTAGCTTAACGTCCTCTCTCGTATCGAGGAGAAAGGGACAAAGGCTAGAGAATTTTGCGTGAGCAAGATGAGATAAAATGGTTAACTCCCCCGTGCAAAAAATCCAACACGCGAACGTGCTCGCAGGCTATTTTCGGATAGAAAGAAGCTGGAACGACCTGCTTGTGGCGTGAGGTATCATCAGACGTCGGACGAAAGTTGGAGTCTCAAAATTCTTTAAAAAGCCATTTTTAAGCACACCTTTTAAAATAATTCGTATTTTGTCTTGCACATGTACAGCATGTGTCGCTTAATTTTTTCAATTGTATTGATCCACTTCTATCGTCAACTCATTACCTAAACAGCGTCGATTGGTTAGAATGTTTATACCAGACTGAATTCCACCTTTTCTTGATCTTTAATTGTGCTCATGATTTTTCCATGCTCCTGAGACTATCAAATTTCCCCTTTGCAACAAACCCTCCAAGCTCTAAGAGCAAAAAAGTTTATAAGTTGTAATCGGTTGGAGATTTATTCCTACTGCGTTAGAAGAAAAGTTTTGGTGTATTAATACTGGATTTTTAAGTTCGCGCCAAATTAACAGATAACGAAGACCTTTGTAGGTTATCTAAACCATCATTCCGGGAAAATCCATATCCGATCCGTGCCCAGAAGTCACGCCATGCACTGTACAGCAAAACACGTGATCGGCCACGTGAACTGTACACTAGAAGGAGGAGGCTCTCTAAGGTGACTGTAGCTCTCCCCTTCCCTTATTATTATCCAATTTTAATTTCTTTTTCGTAAAACCAGTGGGAGCCTTTGATGAGGAGAGAGATCGAGCTGAGAGGCAGGGCGAGACGAACCAGCGCACGCGATAGTATCACTGGCGGGAAAGGCAATGCGCGCGCTTACCATTTATTATTAAAAGGGTACTTCATATTGTTGTTGTTGTAAACTCTCAATTATCTCTCACAGTCCAAGTTTAAGAAACAGAAAGGAAAGGATGAAACTGCTGAAACGTACTTTTTGGCCGGAAGATCCATGCTGTGGTGGGCAGTGAGTACAGCTTGTTTGTTAATTTACAATAATTCCCACCCATTCGGTCATTTGTTTATTAGCGCGACCAGCGCAAAAGCTTATTCAAGCCGAGTAGCATGTAATTGTAAAGCAGAAGGATGCAGTGGAAAAAATTAAACATAGTTCCCGATAGAACAGAACGGAGGAGAAATCGAGTTTCCCCTAGCTTGTCTTTGCTAGGTAATGGGCAGTAGGCGCCAGGCTTAGATAATTGGACAGCACGACCCCATAGAGCGCAGTGTAATAGGACAGTTTTAAAGCACTTGATTGGTTCCTTGTTATTTCGTGTCTAGGCAAAACCACTCTTAAGTTTTGCTCCAAATTCTCCATTTTAGCACTTTGAACACAACAGTAAATTTCCTATACAAGGTCTAGAAATCCCTTGTTGCGTAATATAGAGGCAAGGTATTAGATATTTACTAGGTTATAAAGCAGATCACTTTTACCCATCCGGCGTACATTGCTCACTGCCTGTGCGTTGACAAGGTGCTCCTATTGCCCCCCGCTAAAGGAATAAATATTTCCAAGATAAACAGTCTCCCTCGTTCGTAGCCAAGTTCATTCCTGCTACAATCGATTTAAATCAGACATCAGAGTGCACTTTTCACGGCCGGATCAATCAACAAAGGTTTCAGTGATTACTGAAGCTTCTTCATTTCTGCAGGCGCAACGAATAGACAAAACAGGACCTTTTACGTAAGAATTGAATATGGTGTTCGTAGACCAGAAGCAGAAGTCCTTGGAAGTCTTAGACTGGGTGATAATTGGAGCTTATTTTCTTGGTTGCATATTTGTTGGTTTGTGGGTGAGTAACTCTTTAATTTCATTTTTTATTTGAAAAGTGGGTAAGGCTATTCATGAAGCAGACACTTCAAATACTTCATCTCTGGTTACAAAAGGCGCCCCTGATTGATCAGATTAAATCTACGCTCGGTTATCACGCAAGATAAAAATATTACAGTTTTAGTTGTTTACAGATTTATTTATTTTTGTGTTTATTTATTTGTCTGTTTAATTAATTTTTGAATCGAGTTTCTATCGTGCAGATCGAAAAGTTGTTGTTATTGAAAATCAGCTTCAAGAAGTTGCAAACGCTAAAAAAAAGTGCATAATAGCCGCGCGCTTTTCTGCCGTGGAATTTTACTAAGGAAAGGCGAGTTTTTAGGAATCGGGTGATCTTTTTCATTCTCTTTAGCTTAACGTCCTCGTAGGCTGTATCGAGAAGAAAGCGACAAAGGCTAGAGAATTTTGCGTGAGCAAGATGAGATAAAATGATTAACTCCACCGTGCAAAAAATCCAACACGCGAACGTGCTCGCAGGCTATTTTCGGCTAGAAGAAGCTGGAACGACCTGCTTGTGGCGTGGGGTATCATCAGACGTCGGACAACCACTTTAAAAGACCATTTCTAAGCACACCTTTTAAAATAATTCGTATTTTGTCTCGCACATGTACAGCATGTGTCGCTTAATTTTTTCAATTGTATTGATCCACTTCTATCGTCAACTCATTACCTAAACAGCGTCCATTGGTTAGAATGTTTATACCAGACTGAATTCCACCTTTTCTTGATCTTTAATTGTGCTCATGATTTTTCTATGCTCCTGAGACTATCAAATTTCCCCAAAGGCAACGAACCCTCCAAGCTCTAAGAGCAGAAAAAATTTATAAGTTGTTATCGGTTGGAGATTTATTCCTACTGCGTTAGAAGAAAAGTTTTGGTGTATTAATTCTGGATTTTTAAGTTCGCGCCAAATTAACAGATAGCGAAGACCTTTGTAGGTTATCTAAATTATCATTCCGGGAAAATCCATATCCGATCCGTGCCCAGAAGTCACGCCATGCACTGCACAACAAAGCACATGATCGGCCACGTGAACTGTACACTAGAAGGAGGAGGCTCTCTAAGGTGACTGTAGCTCTACCCTTTCCTTATTATTATTATTATTATTATTATTATTATTATTATTATTATTATTATTATTATTATTATTATTATTATTATTATTATTATTATTCAATTTTAATTTCTTTTTCGTAAAACCAGTGGGAGCCTTTGATGAGGAGAGAGATCGAGCTGAGAGGCAGCGCGAGACGAACTAACGCACGCGATAGTATCACTGGCGGGAAAGGCAATGCGCGCGCTTACCATTTATTATTAAAAGGGTACTTCATATTGTTGTTGTTGTAATTTCTCAATTATCTCTCACAGTCCAAGTTTAAGAAACAGAAAGGAAAGGATGAAACTGCTGAAACGTACTTTTTGGCTGGAAGATCCATGCTGTGGTGGGCAGTGAGTACAGCTTGTTTGTTAATTTACAATAATTCCCACCCATTCGGTCATTTGTTTATTAGCGCGACCAGCGCAAAAGCTTATTCAAGCCGAGTAGCACGTAATTGTAAAGCAGAAGGATGCAGTGGAAAAAATTAAACATAGTTCCCGATAGAACAGAACGGAGGAGAAATCGAGTTTCCCCTAGCTCGTCTTCGCTAGGTAATGGGCAGTAGGCGCCAGGCTTAGATAATTGGACAGCACGACCCCATAGAGCGCAGTGTAATAGGACAGTTTTAAAGCACTTGATTGGTTCCTTGTTATTTCGTGTCTAGGCAAAACCACTCTTGGCAGATCATGATTATAATTAAACACAAGTTAAAATTATCACAAATCCTCGTGCCCCTATCTCAAATTTTGTTAAGTGTTAATTAATTGGTAACAGACTGTCTAAANTCCCTTATTATTATCCAATTTTAATTTCTTTTTCGTAAAACCAGTGGGAGCCTTTGATGAGGAGAGAGATCGAGCTGAGAGGCAGGGCGAGACGAACCAGCGCACGCGATAGTATCACTGGCGGGAAAGGCAATGCGCGCGCTTACCATTTATTATTAAAAGGGTACTTCATATTGTTGTTGTTGTAAACTCTCAATTATCTCTCACAGTCCAAGTTTAAGAAACAGAAAGGAAAGGATGAAACTGCTGAAACGTACTTTTTGGCCGGAAGATCCATGCTGTGGTGGGCAGTGAGTACAGCTTGTTTGTTAATTTACAATAATTCCCACCCATTCGGTCATTTGTTTATTAGCGCGACCAGCGCAAAAGCTTATTCAAGCCGAGTAGCATGTAATTGTAAAGCAGAAGGATGCAGTGGAAAAAATTAAACATAGTTCCCGATAGAACAGAACGGAGGAGAAATCGAGTTTCCCCTAGCTTGTCTTTGCTAGGTAATGGGCAGTAGGCGCCAGGCTTAGATAATTGGACAGCACGACCCCATAGAGCGCAGTGTAATAGGACAGTTTTAAAGCACTTGATTGGTTCCTTGTTATTTCGTGTCTAGGCAAAACCACTCTTGGCAGATCATGATTATAATTAAACACAAGTTGAAATTATCACAAATCCTCGTGCCCCTATCTCAAATTTTGTTAAGTGTTAATTAATTGGTAACAGACTGTCTAAAATCGAGCTCGCGATAAAACAATTTACCCCCCGCTACTCGGTCGTCCGATTTTGTTGAATCACTTAAACGATTACAGATTGAATTCAGTTGCACTCAGTCTCACTACAATTAATTATCATTGTCGTGATTAAAAAAAAATCGGACCCTGACGATCTGCTTTGTTGAATCACTTCTATGATTAGAGAACGAATTGGACTCAACTCAGCTCGACGTTTTATCAAAAGCTGTTACATACCATTATAAATATCTACCCTGAGTAATGACTGGCTGACGTGATTAACCAGAGTTATTTCTTTATATCGGGTTTTGTGATTGTCAATTGAAAAGCAATCTGTTACAGCAAATAAAGGTAACTCTAACTGACTCTAGCAAAGACAGCAAATACAGTCAACGCCCAAAACGCCCAGTTTCCCCTCTTACAAAGATGAAAATTGCCCTCGATTTACAAACGCCGTGAGACATGAGGGGTCTACTGCAGTCTGTATTAACATCGCAAGTGTCCCAAGGATTTAGGTCTGAGGTTATGACATTTCAAAAGGAAAAGACCTTGCCATTCGTCGGTTATTTTCTTTTACTCTCTAAAAAGTCGTGAAAACTTTCTATATATGAACACGTTGAATCAATCCCTACGGCGGTTCCCTAAGGCCGAAACTCGTTTTTGAAGGAGGACATTTATTGCCGGTATATTTCACAAGTCTCTGTCCAAGAGAAAGTAGACTATACGTGGCATCATGCATGATTCACAGTCAGCTGTCAGACTTGTTAAACATATTTTCTAGGTTGGACCCAGTCTTTTTGCTAGTAACATGGGAAGCGAACATTTTGTGGGTTTGGCCGGCTCTGGAGCTGCAACTGGAATTGCTGTGGTGGCATACGAGTGGCAGGTATCACATTTATTTCACGTGTTTTCAATACATTAATACTCTTACTCCTAATTATAAAATTTCCAAAAAATTCAATTTTTTTTTGTAGTATTCTAAGAAGTAAATAATACTATTCAAAAGTTCGGACAAAGACGTTTGTTTCATTTGAATGGAAACACGGCATAGGATTTCGTCCACATGATTTAAAAACTAGAGAATTCATTTGTCATTGCTTGGTCTATTACTGAAAGTTCTAATCACGTAATCCATACTTGCATACTGAATAATGCAAAATACCTGATGTGTAATGATCTCGAATACACATAACTACACCTTTCAAGCAGATATTATGAGGATTTGTCTAGGTTTTAATGGCAATATTCCCTTTACAGGCTAGCTGGATTTTGCTTCTTCTTGGCTGGATTTTTCTGCCAATCTACTTGAGATCACGGGTGAGTTTCTTTTTCCTTTTAGTGTAAGTTATCTTTCTTGGCTTAGCCAAGTAAACGACTTGATATTTTTTTTCTGCCTTTTTTGTCTTCGTATTTTAGTGCTGATGAGAACTTTAGAACAGCAGGTCAAATCATGAAATGTTTGTAACACTTTTTGTCTCTCATTCCTCGCGTAATAGGTTTTTACGATGCCTGAATACTTACAGAAGAGATTCCAAAGTCGTTGGGTCAGGACGTATTTGACCGCCGTTGCTCTCATTTCTTATGTATTTACTAAGACTTCGGTACGTTAGTATTATTTAACACAATTGTGATATGTTATTTTTAGTAAACACGAATGTGCTTTGGAGTATTTTTCGAGGTCTCTTTCGTGTTATCAAATTAATACGCCAATTCAAGTTGATCTAGGGGAGAAGCCATTCACGCAAAATTTTTCTGAGTGTTAGAACTTATAAGGTGAGCTTTGGGACCTTGTAAGGGAGACTTGGGTGCGGTGTCTATTCAAATACGTATACGTTGGTATTAAAAGTTTTTTCTTCAGTCCCGTGGGGGACTCCAATATAAAAGGGACGGGAATGCGCGTAAGTGGAATTAAATCTCTAAAGAAGATAAAGGGGACCAATCTGGGCGTGGCTTCCCCGTAAGTTGTTCAAAACATTCAGAGTAAGTGTTTCGTTCGAGCGCCAGGACAACTGCTGTTCGATTTTTAAACATTAGATAATCTTTCATCGGAAGCCCTTTGGACACCTCCCTAAATCATGCACACCTGCAAATTGAACCAGCTATAGCTGACGTTAACGATATATGAGCCTTCGATGTCTCAGCTCTCGCATACAACACAATCGTCTCTAGGCCTTTTTAGTTTGGAATCATGAGAGCATTGTTCGATGATTCACCCTTTGGAAAATCTGTAGACTGGGCTTATCGTTAACTACAATTTTTTTCAGGTGGATATCTACGCTGGTAGCGTATTTCTGTACGAAGCTGTTGGTTGGAATATTTATATTTCCGCCGCTTGTATTTTGGCCATCACAGCCGTTTACACCGTCCTGGGTAAGATAGTAGGATTTAAAAGTAAGCTCCATGACCGAAAATAAAGTCGAAGCTCACATGCTTAACGAAACAATCGCATGTCACTATGATGCCAGAGTTCCCTTAAGGGACCTTGGATGGGCCGCTTTTTCTAAATCTCGTGGTCATGGTGTCGTTCCAAATAGTTCCCAGATGGTTTTTTTGCGTTCTGATCGGTCATGAAATTTTGTATCTGCTTTGATCAGTCGATTAGTGAGTTCTTTTCATTTTAAGACCCTCAATCGAAAACCCCTCTGCATGTGGAGTGGAGTGCCTGCAACTAGCTGGAAAAGCCAAGTGCACTTTCCACTATAAACAAACCTTTAACCTGTAATCAAGTCTCATGAATCATATTCTACAGCTGTTTTTTGTCTCACACCCCTTACAGTCATTTATTACAATCCTTCCCCTTAAGTCTGTTTCAAACTGCTTATCCGATTGGATATTTCATCCACTACCGCACTTCGGAAACGTCACTCTACCCATCGCAAATCTTCCAACTTCTGTTACTGNGACACGTCCCTCAGCGGCGATGAGCGAGGAGAAACGTCTGCCGTTCGCAGGCTAAAATGTCGATACATGGGCGCTACCTGGACAACTAAGCATTTTGAAAGATATGTTAAATGAAGAGAAGACATCGTGTTTTGACGAAATCCTGTTGGCAGTGTCAAAGTTTCCAGAAGCAGAACAAAATATCTGTAAGCTGCTTGCTGTAAATCCTGCTACCAGCGCCACTATACTGGGGAGCGTTTATTCTCATCTGCACGGCCATAGGATGGATCGCGAAAGGTTTAGCAACCTAGCAATGAACAGACAGTGTCTCTATAGGGTTGCACAGGAGTTTGTTTCCCGCAATGAGAACCGCAACTTCAACAAGTAGCAATCTTAAGTAGGTTTATTTAACATATTGACTATATTGGATAGTATACCACGTGTGGACCTTTATGTTACATTCATTGAGGCTGTAAATAGGATGGCGCGCAAGTGCAATTTAAGTGGCAAAACGCTGACCTTAATGTTTTCTTGTACTGGCCAGATTTTTTAGCCCTACCACTTTAAAATGGTCTCCGCGGTCCATGTAGTAGGATTTAAAAGTAAGCTCCATGACCGAAAATAAAGTCGAAGCTCACATGCTTAACGAAGCAATCGCATGTCACTATGATGCCAGAGTTCCCTTAAGGGACCTTGGATGGGCCGCTTTTTCTAAATCTCGTGGTCATGGTGTCGTTCCAAATAGTTCCCAGATGGTTTTTTTGCGTTCTGATCGGTCATGAAATTTTGTATCTGCTTTGATCAGTCGATTAGTGAGTTCTTTTCATTTTAAGACCCTCAATCGAAAACCCCTCTGCATGTGGAGTGGAGTGCCTGCAACTAGCTGGAAAAGCCAAGTGCACTTTCCACTATAAACAAACCTTTAACCTGTAATCAAGTCTCATGAATCATATTCTACAGCTGTTTTTTGTGTATGTCTCACACCCCTTACAGTCATTTATTACAATCCTTCTCCTTAAGTCTGTTTCAAACTGCTTATCCGATTGGATATTTCATCCACTACCGCACTTCGGAAACGTCACTCTACCCATCGCAAATCTTCCAACTTCTGTTACTGGCTTGTTAAATCTTTGGTCCCTTTCCCACTTCTTTTCTGGTCTTCTTTTTTCCCTTTTACCGTTCATCCTTCCATCTAAAATGATCTTCTCTAATCCGTCACTCCTTTTCCAATTTTATAATAACCGAAATATTTTAGGTTTTGTTTCCTTGCACAAAGTCCTCCTTCCCTTACGCTAAGAAGTTAATTGACATCTGCGGTTTTCAATAGAGGGGTGACTGTGAACACGTATACAAAGCTCTTCTTCGTTAGTATGACTGACTTTTCCTTTTTCTTTCTATAGGTGGACTGACAGCTGTAATCTTTACCGATGTTCTTCAGTGTGTAATTATGATTATAGGCGCAGTTATATTGGCAGTAATGAGTAAGAGCAATGCTTTCCTTTTTATAATAATCGATTTAGAAATACATTTTAAAACAAAAATCAACGATATAAAAGAAACTTGATGTTTTGATGGCTTCACACTAGAAGCTAAGTTAGTGACAAGTAAGCACTTGATTCAAGTGCACTTGGAAATCTTAGGTCGCTCTGAAGAAAACATGGCTTCACACTTGTTGACAAAGTCTATTACTTGAAGTAAAAGCTGTTAATCTCTCCGTTCATTAGAATATTTGAACCGCTGCACGTGCACATCATGCACATGGCTTCTATTTCTTATTGGTCAAGTGTGTTCTCAAGTGTGGTGTAGCCCATACTTGGTGGCGAACTTCGGTTTCTTTGAACTACGAACGTTTCCCTGGTCACCAAGTACAGTTGAAGTAGGTACATTTGACCCCTTCACACTCAAAGTAGGTTTCAAGTACACTTACATTATACGTGAAGCTCTAGTGTGAAGCCAACAAACATCTCGAGTATCAGACACTCTAGCTTCCCTCGGCATTTCTTGAGGATTTTAAAGTTTTCAAGATGATTTACCTGCGTCACTCACTATTTGTCGATGAAGTGTTTGCCAGCTAGAGCGGTTTTCATTTGAGTGTCGAAAAGTAATTGGTTTTGCACTTTCTACACGATGCGATTGGCTTAAAAGATTCGCGCCACCTTTTCATCCAATCAGAAGTAAAACCAAAGCCAATTGTGACGCGCTCGCATGCATTTTCCCGCGCTTTGCGTCAGCCACATGTAATTACTTCGAGTTTTGATTGGTTCAATGTATTGTCTGTGTCCTATGTGATTGGCCAGAGTAATTACTTTGGTTTTGGTTTTACGACACTCAAACGAAAACCACTCTATTGGGTAAACGCAAGTATTGATTCGAATTAGTGGTTCCAGTAGTTCAAACCATGGCCCAATGATGTATAGAGTTCCAATCGCTTATAAGATTCACTTAGTGGGCTGCTAATTATCTGATTTCAGGCTTCGTGAAAGTTGGCGGCTACAATGGTTTGTGGGAACATTATGGGAATTCTTTGGGTAAGTCAGTTCGCACAGCAAAAGCGCCTTTGACAACATTAATGACCAACGTCTCCACAACAGCTGCAACAACAATGGTCACCACGGACAATACCACCCCAACATTGCCAACAACAACAGCACTGTTGTCAACATTGGCAGGTAATGTCTCCACCGCAGCCGCTACAGTTGCAACAACAGTGGTCAACGCCACCGCAAATTTTACCCAAATAATACCCACTAACGCCACCACCAAGTCCACAACAGCACAGCTGACCACATTGGCCACCGATGTCTCAACATCAGCTGCAACAATTGCAACGACATTGGTCAATGCCACAACCAGTATGACTCAAATAATGTCGACAAACCTGGCAGCAGAATCAGAATGTTTTAAGTTGACTGAATATTGGAGTAACATGTTTCGACCTCTTGATGATCCTGACTACCCCTGGTTGGGATTGTGGATAACACTGCCAATCATGGGAGTCTGGTACTGGTGTACTGATCAGGTATGGGCCTTCGAGTCCCACTGCAGTTATACGCCGCCTAAGGCGTTTCTATTATTATATTATTCTCCGGGATTTTATTTACCAGCAAGTGGAAATATCTATCAGGATCAACCTCGTTCCCAGGGTCCTTCCTACTCAGCCCCCGTGGCGCGAGAGGAGAAGATCCTGGGAACGAAGTTGGTATCAGGATGTGTAAATTAATTCGTTAACGTGACTATCTTTCATTTTTTTTCTCAAAAAATATTGAGCTCCTTCTCGTTGAAAGCGTTTTTGTGACCCAGTAAAAACCATGCTGATAAAATGGCGTCGACAAAAGAGTGTTTTACTTGACACGTGAAACAGATACTCAACTACTGCAAAATAGCTACAAGTAAACAAAAGAAGATAATGGAATTAGTGCATACATTGTAATAGTGCGTAGTATTCTACTACCTATTTCACGGGTTAAGTAGAATCACTCTAACACCAGCTTCAATTTTCAAACACTTAAAACTTGCTTAGTAAACTGAAATATCTTAAACTTAGCTTTGTTGTGCTTTTCTTAGCTATTGCAACTTTCTCTTGGTTGATCTCGATACAGTCAGTTGTCGGGATAATTATGCACAAAGTCATTCACATTAATCCTTCTCCAAAGCTCTCGTTTCCTTTAGAGTTGTCCTTCATGTTGTTGGTAGTTTTGTGTGGCCACAGTAATGATAAGGCATTGTGCATCAGTAATTGTATGTTTAAAAGACACGTTTTACGACGAACGAAAATGACTTTAGGGGTAGGAGGTGTCTGTTAAAGAAGATTTGATTGTATAACAATCTAAATTAATCCCTTATGGTGTTTATACAATTTAGGTGATTGTCCAACGAGCCCTCGGTGCTAAGAATAACACCCATGCAAAAGCAGGATCTGTCTTGGCTGGTTTCCTGAAAATCCTACCAATTTTTGTCATGGTTATGCCTGGAATGATCAGTCGAGTGTTGTTTCCTGACTCCATCGCCTGTCCAGATCCGGAGAGCTGCAAAGTTCACTGTGGCAATGAGTTTGGCTGCACAAACAATGCATATCCCAAGTAAGTTAATGGCGCTTGGTAAGATATTTTCGACATTCTTAGACAACAGTCCGTCTGAAAAATCGGGCGAGGGTAACTATTTTGTGACTTAAAAACAACCATAGTTGGGGTCATTATAACCGCGACCTGAAATGAGCCAGAAAGTTTGGTTGATGGGTGTAAAGATTAAAAGATTATAACCGTTAATTGTAAGAAACATTCTTATCACAATTTGCCAATCTAAGTGTCATTATGGTAGCTCGTGAGGACTTTTCGGTGTTTTGACCACTGGTTAATTATCACGGAAATGTCCCAGAAGAGACTAGCCTAATTTTTCCCTGTCCCCTTTCCTTTCCGACGCCTACTACTCAGGCTAAAAACGCTACCTCGTCATCAAGACTATCTTGAAATTCTTGTTAATCGCTTCGAAATTTACAGTAAGTCGCATTTAACACAAATGCTCAAGTAGGCGTCTACCGTAAAAATCCATCATCTCATCAAGACACTCAGTTATAAGAGCGGGACAATGAACTGTCAGAGTTAACAAAAAGACAAATTTTGTACTCACTCTTTTCTAACACTTTGTAGGTTAGTGCTGAACGTTCTTCCGACCGGTTTGGTTGGCCTGATGTTGGCTGTTATGATGGCAGCATTGATGTCTTCACTTTCATCAGTGTTTAACAGCAGTGCTACCATATTCACTGTTGATGTTTGGCTGCGCTTTAGACCCCAGGTACAAAAACACGTACAATTTACACCCTTAAGATAAATAAGTTTTAATCTAATGCATCAATCTTTTACCACTTCAGGCCAAAGAAAGAGAAAAAGTTATTGTTGGTCGCGTAATTGTGGCGGTTCTTGTTGGCGTCAGCTTGTGTTGGCTGCCAATCATTCAAGGTAACGTGTTTTCTCCCTTTAGTTTTTCTTTAGATTTGTCAGATGTCACGTGTTGTTTCATCTTTCTGCGTTTGAATTTATGACCCTCATGACTGGCGCTCAAAGGAAAGACGAAAAGAAAAAAACGTGCGTGCGGGAAGGAAAAAAGGCGCCCTCAATGTTCTCGCAAACTGAATTGACCATGAAAAAGTCGTACTATCTTTGAGCCTAACATGAATGTCAGGCCAACACGAAACTCATGGTGACAAACCAGAAGACTACGCCGTCCAGTTTAATCTAAAGTCTCGTTTTGTTATTTTTGTTTTTCAGGCTCTGCTGGTACCCAGCTGTTTGTTTACATTCAGACCATTCAATCCTACCTGGCTCCTCCTATCACCATGGTGTTTGGACTGGGTATCCTGTGGCCTGGCCTCACCTCCGCTGGTGCTTTATCTGGACTTGTCATTGGGTTTATCTTGGGAATGGCCAAGTTCATTGCTGGAAACGTGTACCCTGCCCCTAGATGTGGTGCAGTAGACGATCGTCCTGGATTTGCAAAAATGCATTTCATGTATTATGGTAAGAATTTACTTTTGTAACAACACTGTTAACAAACAAACGAATCCGGCCGCGTTCCCAAAAGCCCCCTAAGCACTCTCTCGCGGTGCGCGTGATGTCTTAGGAACGATGAAATGCGCTCGTGACGTCCTATCATCCTCTCTACGCTTGGAGCCTGGGGACGAGAAAGCGATTCCAGAGCTTGGACTGTCCGTCAGTTTCAAACACGTATAAAATATGTCCGATGAGACCGTCGCTTTGTGTGATCAAACTTACTGAGTCCACCTTAATGGGTCTATTTTGAATGTTACTATTTATTTACAGCGATGATCATTTTTGGTGTCTGTGGGTTGATAATGGCGGTGGTGAGCCTTTTTACGGAGAAAATTCCCCGGGATGAACTCGGTGGTCTTACATGGAGTACTATCAACGAACCCCCAATTTCTCACGGAGCACTTGGAGAAGAAGATGACGCGGAAAAAACTGAAAATGGTCACGTCAAAAGAGATTCTATAGAGTTGTTGAAGAACGGTAAGACAACAGTTAAAGTACTGAAAATCATTCATCTAGAAATTCAAATTCGCTTTATTACACTCCGCTGTGTCTTGAATCTTTAATCGTCTTCTCGGTGTTTGCATAACTAGATGAAAAACTCCTTCTTGTGTTTAATATAATACTTCTCAGTGTTTGGATATCAGATAAAACATTCCCTCTCTTCTTTGTGTATTACACTTCTCGTTGTTTGGATATCAGAAGAGACACTCCTTCTCGAGTTTGATAAACTACTTTTCGATGTTTTGGATATCAGATGAAACACTCCCTCTCGTGTCTGTGTACTAACTTCTCGGTGTTTGGATATCGCGTAAAACATTCCTTCTTGTGTTTGATATATTTCTTTCTTCTAGGGGGCAAAGATGAAACCTTCGACTCTCCAGAAGACACTGGCGAGGAAGAGAAACACAAGCTGTCACGCTCAGCTATAAAGCCTGACAAAATAAAGCTGACGGTGGTAAAATTCGCTGAGGAAGATCCTATTGTTAAATGGTTCTTACGGTTCCTGAGCTTCTTGTTGCTTCTTGCTTTGTTGTTCTTGTGGGTGTACTATCGTTAAAGTACTGTTTGACCTGTTTGTACTAGTGACAAGGTGATGGGCTCATAAAGATACCAAATGTCGATACCATCGACTATCCACCGATCTTCTTTGCCTGGATATCAATATATGTTCTTTTCGATATCGTTTATCAATAGAGTATGACGAGGTCTGGGCACCCTGTGAACTACTTCTCAAGAAAGACTTTGAATAATAACTTTACAGTACCATTAACAAGTATCGTTATAGATACATGTCGCAAATATCGTTAAATGCCAAATTGGTGTTGTATCGATTTCACAACCAGGTATCGCCCATCACTAGTAAACCGTAGACATCAGCACAACTCTTGATGTAAAATAGAAATACTATTACACTGTTATATCTTTAAATGTGTTAACTCATCAACCTCGTTCCCAGGGTTCTCTCTCTCGCTCAGCAGGGACCGGTAGGAGAGATCCCTGGGAAAAGCTTATTTCATTGTCAAAATGCTGCTCCAGCCATGGTCTGGCCGGCCAGTTCTGACTTTTGGAAAGCACCCTAAGTTACGACATGTGTAGTTTCATGTTGTTACTAAAGTTTTTCGTATATTCTAAGTAACATAGTGCACACAGTGAACATAAAGATCAGAGAATGCAGAGGTTAAAAACAATAGAAAATCATTAACCGTCGGGCCCAAAAAGTGGTCGCGGTCGCTTACAGCAGGTGGTCGTTTACTAGAGGCTCCTACTGTAACGCTTTGACTTTGATTGTTTTGGACTGGCGGTCGCTTACGAGAGCTGGTCGCACATGGAGGTTGGACTGTAATCGTTTTTCAACAAAACATTACATATGTATAGGCGTGGTGGTTTGCTCTATAATAAAAATGTGATGCAATTTCATGGCTATTCATTCTGTATTAATTTGTATAAAATGAAAATAGATATGGAAGATCCACATCTATGGACACAAATTGCCATTACAACTGATATAAAAAACTTAGAAGTGTGAGAATTTTGCCTTTTCTACGTCCCAGGGCGGCTATTTTGGACTAGATGCGAGATCGGAAAACTTCAGTGAATATAACAAGAGGGAGAACTCTCGAAAAGCAAACCGAGAAAATAATTATTCAAAACTGTTTTTTTCTAATCACCGTGACCAGTAACGCAATGGCGCGGTCCAAAGCAAAGGGTATTCATAAACCTATATATCATGGTGATCGGTAACGCAATGACCCGGTCCTCTTCTATGCAAAACGTATCCATAAACCTATCAGCGTGACAAGTAACGCAATGGTGGAGATTCGTAACAGCCACTTCAGCCAGGGTTCCTCTTCTGGGAACTCTACAACAGGAAGTTTGATCTTCTCTACCTTCGCTTCAGTGGGCTTAAATGTCATGGAAGCAGATGGGCTGTCGTTCACAAAGGATTCACTTTTGTCTGTAAATGATAGAGAAAAGCATGAATGAGGATGTGAGCGACTCCGCCATCGTCTTTGTTTTGTTTGTTTGTTTGTTTGTTTTTTTCAGTCTTTACTATGGAAATGTTTGTTTTCAATTTAAGAATTGGAAAAACTCCAAGCTCATCTTTTATTTATTAGAACTCTTCCAAATACAGTCAACTCCCTCTAAGACGGACACCTTTGGGACCGGCAGTAAGTGTCCGTCTTAGAGAGATGTCGGTCTTATAGAGAGTCAAATAAAGGGAGTAAAGAAAGGCAGGGACCAACTCTAGGTGTCCGTTTTAGAGAGGTGTCCGTCTTATAGACGTGTCCGTTAAGAAAGAGTCCACTTCATTCTCGACACCAGAGTTCTTCTCTATTGAGTCGAGAATGGCTGATTTTTAGTAGAAGTGGCCGGTCTACGCGTGCGCAACCAACTGTTAGTGCTGTCACAACGCCAATGTTCCCTATGCAGCGCATGAGGATAACATTTTGTTCATGACTCCACAGCGAGTTCAACAAACCGATATAAAACCAACTTATCTTGCTATCTATTTCTTCTTTTTCTTTTACTATGAGTAACAGAGATCAGAAACACCTTTACCGACGCAAACGTAACAATTGTCTAGGTTTAACAGTATCCAATTTGGTCTTCTTCACGAATGGAAAAATTGGGGCCTTAAACTGAAAAAGAGGAAAATAGGTATCACTATTTCTTTCACCCTCGCTCAACTGCCATGAGAGCAAGACCATTTTACGGCCCGCTGATTGCCATATTCAACGTCTCGGCAAAATAGAGGAAATAAATCAACGTACCCTCCATTTGCATGGTCGTCAATTTTTCCAATGCTTCCACGTCCTCTCCGATGGCTCCGTGCGCTAAAGGAGGTTCGTTGATTGTGGGCCAAGTCAGTCCGCCAAGCTCATCTCGAGGAATCCTCTTTGTAAATAAACTTACCACAACCATTGTGAACACACTTATGGCAAACAGGATATTCGCTGTAAGGAAAGGTATAAAAACATAACTCCTACTTAGGTTAAAACAGCGCCTCACTCCCAACATGTTGTGTCTTCTGGGATCGATTGGAAGAATACGCGTTAGTTATGGTTGGTTTATGGTAACCAAAGGCTCACAACTAACTCTTGTACATTAAGTGATCCCAGAAATCCTTGCGCCGAAACATGTCCCTGTTGTCCCTGTAGTTTATGTAGTGAGGGAATGAAGGACACTAGTTTACATCCCCTTCTGGAGATGGGACCGCCATTTCTTCGTGATTATGGCAAAGGCGATAACATTTGTACTCCGTTATTGTGGCACCCTGGATAAAGGGTCGAAAATCGAGCCTACAACGACAAACGCTCTACCAACCGAGCTATTTCGGTGGCTATTGCTGGGCGCATCCGATGTGTTGCCCGTAAAGACACCTCTTCGTTGTAGGTCTTTGAGGCGACAACGATCAGCATTAAATTTTGCGGGGATTGAATGGGAGGGCAATTGTGACGGACAAATGCAATCTTCCTAGGGATGGAACGTCCTCAGTCCTTCATGAGTTTCATCTGCATTTTATATGGGAATTTATTCCGACCAGCAAAATTCTAGTATCCAGGCAGACGTTAGTCGCGTCATCATGTCCTGCTCCACCGCGATGTTGGAGGCCTGCGTGACGATGCAGAGTCTAGAAAACTTCAAACGTTACCATGCGTGCTTCTGGGCGTTTGTTTGTTTGTTTTGGAGGTACGGATTAATTTGTAGTCATTGTCCTTCATATCTACAAGTCATTTTTTCTACATTCCTGCAGTATCTGAATGATATATAGCCTGCGAACAGCAGACGCATTTCCGGTCGTCGCTTCTCTCACTCCGAAGAGGGAGAGAAGCGACGACGGGAAAGCGTCTGCTGTTCGCAGGCTAAATGATACAAGGCCTTGCTTATTTTTATCATTTGACTCCAAACATAAGGTACTTACAGTAATACATAAAATGGAGCTTAGCAAATTGGGGGCGTGTGTCCTCCTCGCCACAGTCGGGCGGTGCGTACACATTTTCAACAATGAACTTTATAAGTCCCATGGCAAACCCAACCAGGAGTCCAATGAAAGCTGCATTTTCGGTGAGTCCAGTCCAGAGTATTCCCAACAGGAACATGGAACTGATCGCGGGCGCAAAATATGATTGGATATTTTGGAGATATACAAACAGCTGGTTTCCAGCAAAACCTGTTAAACAATATTAAATACGGTGGGCAAACTTTTTTTTCATGACTACTCTGTTATACTCGAGCTAGGGCCCCTGTCAAAAGATAAGGGTTTCTGTTTCTGCAAAAAAACAAACAACAACTACAACAATTGAGGGGAAATGAAAAGGAAGACATCCATTTTGTAGACTACTGCCGATCCAGAAAACCCTTATTACAATACTACGAGAAAAAGATGGCGCACGAGTACGAGTTTAAAGAAAGTTCGCATATTTTAAACAATCACTTGTCACAGTAGTCGTGTCTTTTTGGTCTGTTTATGTGCAAGTCATCAGCTGGAAAGAGAGAGATTTCTGGGGACATAACTAGCCTGGCCAGGGTAGTGTAATATATACACAAACTCACCTTTGACAATCGGTAACCAGCACAAACTGACGCCAACAAGAGCAGCCACGACCACTCGACCCACTATAATCTTTTCTCTATCCCTGGCCTATTTGGGAAAAGAATGATTGAGTATCATGAAAGAGTGAGCCCAGTGCAAGAATAAACAACGCGGATATCTCAGTTGTCGGATCGTTCCAAGTGAATTGGTACTCCTCTATTTATATTCAATGTCAATGTCACAAGATCGGTGGCCTGCAGACGTTCCTAAGACGTTTAAGAAGTAACGAACCAATAATGTAGCCTGCGAGCAAGCTCTCCTGGGCGATCTGGCGGCGGGGCGGAAAAATGACGGACAGCTTACAACGACATCTCTGGAGTTTAAATATCTGCGTAGGAAAAGTCGATGCAAAATCCTGACTGGCGGAGATGACATTAGCAATGACGTCATTACCCTTGGCACGTGCTTGTCAATGTTTGTTTACATTCGCCCTCATATCCGCTTCGCGCTGAAATTCTGACAGCTTAGTCGACGGGTAGCCACAGGGAATTGGAGGTGGAATTCAAATTCCAGAGACGTAGTTGCAATCTCTCCTTCCTTTTCCCGCCTCGCCGTCAGAGCGCCCCGAAGAGCCTGCTCGCAGGCTATCATAAATTAATCATCAGAGATCTCAAATAGCAAGATATTCAATTTGAGTCATAGACTATTTTGAATTTCATTTTCACTGTTTTCCTCTAATGTTCACGGTGTACCTTT